CCTTTAGAGTGCTCTACATGTTTCTTTATTTCTCAAAACATCGAAAATGTTAACCTTCAGCGTAGACAATAATACTTTAGTAGAACGAGCGAAATAATCTATAGTTAGATGGGACACATCTGCGGACTCAGGGCGAGTGGCCAGCGTACACTGGCTATTTGAAATATTATTTTCCAAAGATTGTGCGTTTTCAACTACAGCCGATGAAGAATTATGTATTAGAGGGTTGCAAAGTATTTGTGTATTGAATAACATGAAGCAGCGAGTGATGCTTGGCGTTACGTATGCGACATGAATGAACTGACATACACCTACTGTTAGAATGACAATTTCTTAAACAGTTTGTGCACAGCCTATGGCGTTTGACTATAGAAAGTCTCTCCTGAGGCGATTTCTTATGTAAGAGTGGACATTTATAGATTAAATGATCAGAATTTTTGCATTATAAGCAAGAGTGGGTTGGCACAGGAGACGAATCTATGCGGATTAATACTGATGAGCTAGTACGGCGGTTTAGATGATTATTATTTGTGCGTGTATGCCTCTGACGCGAATGAGAGGCATCATTTATATTATCATATGCGTTACATTGGCGTTTTAAAACACTGCGAGATCTTTGTAATGCGGTATTTCGTCAGAAGCACTCTGTAATTCAAATCGTGGGAGTAAATTTAAATCTAAGCGTTTAAGAAGCATAGGGTAATTCTAGGATAGATGGTACGGAAGGAGAGACGGTACACTACCCGATCCTCGCAATTCGCGATAAGCAGAGACCAACTGGCAGCATCTCCGTATGTGTACCGAAATACATAACGCCTGTGGTTACAACACGTGGTCTCTGTTTTGATCGAAATTTTAAGTTTCTTTCTTTAAAAAACCGATATTTTTCTTTCGTTGTGAAGTTTAGTTAAACTATTAGGTATGTATACTTCAAATATTTTACTTTTTTTGCTGTAGTCTAGAAGTACCCTAATTTAGCCACCAAACCTTAAAACAAGCACCATTGCCAATTTTTATAGATTTTATTTGCTGTTCCATCTCTCCTTGTAGTTTAAGGAGAGTTGGGACAGATTTTGTTGAGGATATATGGTACGGGTGTTCCATCTGTCCTTTATAAGCATTTATTTGTACATTAGATTTTTACTTCCAGATGGCGGAGCAAATGGAAGTATTGTATTAAGCATTCAATAAAAAAAAGCATTGTCTTAATCGACTTAAAAATGTCTCAAAATATCTGTGTGTTCCCTCGATAACTTTCGAAGGAGTTGAGCTATCGATTTTAAATTTAGTACACATGTTGGCTTCGATAAAACATGGGTTCGGATTGCTTTTGAGTAAAATCGGTCCAGGTGAAGGGGTAGAAAATAAGGGACTATTTTTATTTTTTTACAAAAAAAATTATTTTTGGCTTTAGTAGAATAAAATAATGAATCGTTAGGTATGAAAACAAACAAATTATTTTTGCCGCAGTTTCGATGTGGAAGTGTTGATTCAATTTGCAGCATATTTTATTAGCAAATCTTTTGGATTACTTACATTAGTAATATTTATTTGTTCTAGACATGCCAAATATCTACAAGAGAAAGGGCAGCGGAAACGGCAGAGCTGAGTGGTCAGAGGAAAATTTAAAAAAAGCAATTGAAGCACTGGCAAGAAACCAAGTTGGCCACTTTAAAGAGACGATATTCTTTAAGAAAAACGGAAAAGTGTGGATTAGGCCCAGGGTCTACTCTCGGAACAGCCAATGAAAAAAAATTGTTGCTGACGTAAAGAAGCTTTAAAGTCGTGGATTTGATCCTACCAGAGCAATGGTGAGGTCGATGACTTTTCATCTAGCTGAAAAGCTTAAAATAAAGCATAAGGTTAACGCTGACAAACGAATGGCAGGTTACCGTTGGTTCGAGTCGTTTCTTAGGCGAAATCCGGAACTGTCGATAAGGAAAGCAGAAATAGTTTCATCCGCTCGCGCCACATCCATGAATAAAAAGGACGTTGATCAGTACTTAACCTTATTACTCGACATATTGGTTCAACATAACCTGCTTAATAAAGCAAGTCATATATTCAACGTCGATGAGACTGGACTACAACTGAATAACAAGCCAGACCAGGTAGTAGCAATTAAGGGCTCAAAGAACGTTGTATCCATAACGTCGGCTGAGAAAGGAGAAACCATTTCTATTGTTGCTTGCTGCAGTGCAGAAGGCTCCTTCATTCCTCCGACATGTATTTTTAAGGGGGAAAATAAAAAACAGGAATATGAAGAAGGTATGCCAAGTGGTGCAACAGTATTCATGTGCCAAAAGTCTGCGTACATTAATAATGAGCTTTTTTTGAAATGGCTCAAAGAGCAATTTGTCCCTCGAAAACCACCAGGAGAAGTTTTGCAGCAAATTTATGGACACACCTCACATTGTAACAACATTGAACTGTTAGAATATGCTGCAGAACAAAATATAGTTTTACTATGCTTACCAAGCCACACCACACAATTTCTTCAGCCCTTGGATCGAGGATTTTTTAAATCTCTTGAATGATACTATTATGAGGCATGCAATTTCTACATCAGAGCAAATGCTGGTAAGCAGCTGAATAGACTTCAGTTCGCTCATTTACTAAATTCCGCCTGGCAACGTGCGGCCACTATCCAGAACGCTCAGTCTTCCTTTCGGGCTACTGGAATAGTACCATTCAACCCGTCTGAAATTCCGGAATATGCATTTTTGGTTGACGAAAACCAACACGTTGAGCAAAACATAGCGCCAATTGTTGCAGAAGATGGAGTTTTTAAAGTAGCAAACAATGAAACTTTATCAAGAGCTTTTAGTCCACCGATTATTAATGATGCAACAGAAGACACTGGTTCGAGGACTGACCCTACCGATTTACTAAAGGATTTGGCGCGACCGGGATGTTCAGGTTATATAGCCTCTGAGAAGGAGAAGCGGTCATCGAAAGAAACGGTTGCAAGTGAGAAGGATACTGCTCCTGAAGAAGACGAAACACCGGGTAAACAGCTTGGTACGGAGCTAACAAGCATGGAGAATATTAGCGTAAAAAAATGAAACTAAACTCAAAAATCAAGTCAACGGCAAAGAAGAATGAAAAGATTTTTCTTAAAACTGCAGAAAAGAAGAACACGAGGAAGAGATCAGCCTCGTCATTATCTTCTAAAGATGAAGAGCTCATTTATAATGACAGCTTTGATGTTTCCGACGAAACCGATCAATGTGTTGGTTGTGGTGAACACTGTAACCAGACCAGAAAAAAAGATGATTGGATAGAATGTTCGAGTTGTCCAAGATGGTTGCGTGACACCTGCTCAAAATATGTAAATTTTTGTGACAAGTGCGGTAAAAATGTGTGTCAAATTAAAAAGAAGTCCTGCCATCTATTCTTAAAACGTGTGCCATCTTTACCTCAATTACTTATAAGCTAATATAGACGTTCCATCTAACCTAACTATGTGTACCAAATATCCAATAGGTGTAAGGTTAGATGGAACATACTTTTTTTTAACTTAGTATAACGGTTTTACTTTGATCCTTTTGATATTTAAGACCACTATGTTGTTTGTCAAGTTACATTTTGTAAACCTACAAGTTGTTTTAATTTTTCTTTAAATAATGAAGAACTTACGTTGATTTTAAAATATGTGTACCATCTCTCCTGGATTTTCCCTATTGGTCAACATAAAGTCCCATTCAGCTACGGGAAAACCAAGATTTTTCAATGCGGCAATATTTTCAGTATATGTTTCTAGTAGTTTCTCAAGTTGAGCGGGATTTTCAGAATTCGTGCGTGGCGTAGTCTCAATTTCGTTCCAGTGTGAAGTTGCTAAAAGCCGTTTATTGGTATATTTGAACCTTAGTGCTTGATAAGTTACTAAACAATTGGACGAAGTTAAAGGATAGCACTGTAACATACCTTTAGCAGACCCTTCAACAAATGATATCAAATGCGAGAATTTTTCTATATTGGATAGAGTTTGGTTGTTATGAATTAAGGCATCGAAAACATCAATAAATGACATGAAGGATTTATCACAATTAAATCATCAATTTTAGTTCAGGTAGTTTCACTCTGGGTGGAACATCGGATATTTCAGGCCGAGTGTCAGACCTCAACTCTTTATTAACCTCAAACAAATCATAATAAATGGATTTAATGGAATAGTAATTGTTATCAACATCAATGCGTACTTTATCCTCAACAAGAAACTCCTCATCTTGGTCAGGATCTAACAAAGCAATTATTGTGTTATGTCGTTTATTGAAACTTTCATATGACGACTCTATATTTTTATATCTTTGTATGAACTGCGAATGGAAATTAAGGTCGGTTTGAGCCATTTTAATAATGTCAAGACACTCTGAAATCTTATTTATTTCCATTTTGCGGATATTCTTTTCCCTTTTAAGTTTGCCATAGTTGTCAAACACGACAAAATGAACCTGAGTACTGTCCTATGGTTACCTACAGACGCAAAAAGTGAATCTAATGAATTAATGAAATTACTGAATATGAATCAAAATTGACAAAATGCTCCAGAAAAGGGTGATGAAAGGCGAATCCGTTGAGAAGGATCAAAAATATGTTGGAGTATTCGAGTGGTCTGTATAGCGGCTGGTTCAAGAATGAAATGTAGTTGTCGCCTAAATTTGATCCGGTATTGTGTCTAATTCTGGTTCATATTCCTGGCGTAGCAGTGATGCAGGAGCGTGAAGATTGCGGGTGTGGGAGCGGTTCTGACTCTATGCGTTTGATGCGTATATGCGGTTTCTGCGTAGACACGTGGTCTCACTGTATGCGGTTGCGGGTATATTATGTTCTCACGGTATCCGGGTTGCGGCATATCTACGTGGTCTGTTTGTGAGCTAGTATCTTTGTTCATTTTATTCTCCTAGCAGTGCACGCCCGCGGGGTAGGCAAGCGACAACTCAGACCAGCCTTACAATAAAGCCAACCCAAATATCCCTAACACATACGCTGCCGTGAAAAATGCCAAAGAAATGTCAGAAAGGTTAAGAAAGCAATAGGAGAAATGTATGTGTAAGTTTTATAATCTTTTTTCGGATTTAAATGTGTCTGTTATTATTGACAGAAAAAAAACTAACTACTATCATTGATATTACTATTATTATCATTATTATTATTATTATTTATTAGAACAGCGAAAGGAATCGTAGTACCGGCAAGAAGTACCGGGGCTAAATGTAAATGTTATGAGGCGAAGGAACAGAACCGGATCTCGAAAAGAAAAAAACGATTCTTTTAAATATAAAGTGAGTGATAAAAATAAGTGATAAACCATCCTTACATCCTTACCATTATTCTTTCATTCTGACAGTTTGTCACAAGTAATAGATTCAATAGCTATTACTTAATGTTCTAAAGTACTCGTATATAATATACTAGTAAGCTTGAGTCCTGATATAATATACATTGTTTTAGATTCGAGATAATTGTAGCCGACCAAGTTATCAATTTCTAAATTCGTCGAAATAATTCCTCATGTCACCTACCCTTGTAAGAATTCGTCGCATCCATAAAATAGAAATAAATATAAAAACTGAAGACAGAACAAACACTCGCATCTGCAAACCACCCAGCGAACGTCAAGGGAAACCAAATTCATATTTCCAAGAAAATAGATAGTAGAACCGGATGCTATAAAGTTGAACCTTTCAAATAGGCCGGGACAAAAACATGGTTTGGAGATCTATTCTGCAATAACATTTGGTTGCTATAACTATAAAGTTTACAAGCAAAGGAGTGCTGAGAAACTTGAAACTCAACCATTTGGTTAGCAGATGTTAGAAACTACCCCGAGCGCTGAACGGTCACGCGTCAGAGGCGTATCAAGGGATATCTAAGATTCCAAAGGCTAGCATATTACTAATGTTTGTCTTGATATGTGGGACAATATGAAAAAGAGGAGACAAACAGCTAGGTTTTTAGTAGAATTTTCCCCTAGCTGACAGGAGTAGGTGCGCCAGGCTGGATACGATTCTACCGTCTGTCAACGTACGCGTTGACAGATGTGGTTTGGAAATTATCATTAGAGAGGAGCAAGTGAAACTAACGAAAGACTGCGTAGTTCCAACGAAGCTAATTTTGTTAAAAATACATTAAAAGTTTCAGAAGAGAGTCACCGTTAGTTTTATCTAAATGCTATGTATAATTATATAATTACTTAAGAGGACATCTCGAATTGTGGCCTCAGCTTTACAGGAATTCCCAATTCATTGAACTTATTGAAAACTGCAGGGTCTGCCCCAAAGCAAATAGAGCCACGAGACGCCACTGAAGGGGGCGTATTGCGTAAACTTAAGAGAAGACTGTACGCTGACGACACTCCTTGAGGTGGGACAAGGGAACGTAATTAACCAATCGAGTTTAAGGCCATTTGGAGTTCAAAAATTAAGTCTAACAATCATTGGTCAGGTTAGTTTCCATCTTAGAGAATCAGACGCCCATTGCAAGGGTTGTAAACTGATCGACCAATGAGGAGACAAGGGCTGAACTCACTAAATCAAAATGACCAGCCTTCTGATGTAGGGGAAAATCCGCAACTGACCTCCGATAATTTTGAAATTAAAAACTTCAGTTCTTCTCTTATCTGTGATTTGTACAGTTGAAATGTTGCTTCGATTTTCCCTCAGTTAGTGGCTGTTAATAAATGTTGCGTTGGTAGAATTTATGTCAAGTTGTGTTCTCATCAGTAAGCACTTCCAGTTACTTAAAAGGGGGTTTTTCCCTTCTTTGTTAGCCCTTCTGGCTAAAGCTAAAATAACACCGAGTTAACTAAGGATTCTACGCATTAGATTGATTAATTAGCATTATAAAGTTGAGATTATTTAGTTTAATTTTGCTATTAGGTTCAAACTTAAATTTATTGTAAATTAGTTGTCACCGTTCCTTTTAACTTAGTCGTAATTCACTCCTCCAGTGATCCTTTCCCCAGCCTATTAGTTTTACGAAGTTAACTGTTCCTTGTCATGGCTACTTCACTCTTCACGAGTGTATAGATATTTTGAGCCTGTAATTCAATTATTAATAAAAATGAGTCTCCTCTAACTTGAGTTCAATTAAATTCATTAATGCCGGTATTTATAGTCGACACTCATATAGACCCTTTAGATCCCCTTAGCCAAGGAAGCCTCAAGGGTCCCTCAATATTCGTTTTTATAAACGTAACTCAAGCTCCCCTCGGATGAGTAGGCCTTTACATTTGGCAACATCGAAACGTGACGAAACATAACCCATAAATTTGCCCAATACAAATAAACAAACATCCATAAAACAATAAACTAGTAGAAAATTCCAAAAGTTTTAGCCCTCTGCAAACCAGATATTTATCTATTTATCTTTGGCATTCATATTCTGATTCATATTCCCAGAGTGATCCAGATTTTCAGTGTATTTTCAAAATTCCTGATAGGAACTTCCTGTTGCCGCTATTACTTTATTTATTAATAAAATGAATAATACAAACAAGAGTAAGTACAAAAATGTATATTTAATTTAAAGTAATTACTATATAATCTATTCCATAGATTCATGCGAGCGAAAAGTTTTTTCCGAAAGGGACAAATTGTTGCTTATATCATTAGTTGATAGTTATAAGCACATACTAGAAAATAAGAAAACAGATGCCACCAATGTCGAAAAGAAAAATGGGGCCTGGAAGAAAATTATAGATCTACATAATACAAACGATGTTTGTCCTAGAACTGATTAGCAATTGAGAAAATTGTGGGAGAATTTGAAACAAAGGTATATAGGAAATACATAATTTGTCTTTTTCTAATTTATTACCAAATGTGTTTTTGTTTCAGAACTAGGAAAAGTGATTCAGAAATGAGAAAAAGTTTAATTCAAACTGGAGGTGGACCACCAGTGAAAAGTGAAGATAATCCAATAAATGAACGAGTTCGGTCAGTTGTCCCTAGAATTAGTTATGTAATTGAAAATGAGTGGGACAGCAATTCTGTGATCCTTTCCGAGAGTGAGCACACTTCACATTTACCTATTTTTGTATTACAATGTCATTAGATTCTCAACTTCAATCTGGTCAGTCAAATATGGGCGACATAGACCAAGATAAGCCTGAAATAAAAAAAAGCAAGATACCACTAAAGCAAAAAATTCAGTGGTAAACGGTATGTATATTATCTATTATAATTATTATTGCCAAATTAAAATATTCATGTACTTTTAGGACAACCGAATGTGAATAACACATCTGAAAATTTTATAACTCCACAGAAGAAAAGAAAAAGACCATCAGTATGTGGGACCTATTCAACAAGAACATCACTAATTGAACAGGAAGCTCTTCTAAGAATACAGAAATTGAAAAGATCCATGGAGCACGATGAAGAACTAAATTTGATTAAAAAACAGGCAGCCGAGGCAGAAAAATTATATTGGGAAACAAAATTAAAAAAATTGAATCAATAAAGTAGTTAATTACATATTGTGTTTATGCTAAAAGTTATTTAAAGCAAAATTTGGTCCACATGCTACCTAAATATTATAATGCACTAATTTTATTATCAAAAGGCGAGCAGAATGAATAATCAAAAGTAATGAGTTATGTATTAGATTATTACTTATAAAATATTCTTACTTGAACATTAATGGAAAACTGCCCTTTCCTGTTTCTGAATATTTCTCCTATATTGCACCAGGGTTTTTTATTAATATATGTGTTCCATCCACACAAGCCGCCACATCAGGGAAATTTGCCATTCGAAAATAGTGTCTGATATTATTTTGCTGAGCAATTAAATTATTTGGAAATTTCACAATATTCTCCAAGTGTTGGGCAAGTGCAATTGAAACCCTCCTTATAATTAAAGAGGCAAAGGAAATACCTCGAAGGTCTGCAGCAACTTCCTACAAAACATACTTTATTACTATATTTAATACTGGGAATGTTATTTGATGTATTGGAAATATACCTGATAAGTTCCTGTAGCATAAAACCGCAGAGAAACTAAGAGTTGTAAAATCGGAAGTATTGGTAAACCACGGTTTGAATTCTTTTGCAAGGCCTCATTCACAAGTGGCAAAATTTGATCTCTCACTATAAATTTTGAGAATCTGTACCGTCGTCTGAATTCAACATCTTCATAGAATTCAAAAGGATTCTGCGCATCTCTTAAGTGACGTTTGGGAATCCTTCCTGCTGAACCTGATTCTTCCTACCCATTCGATAAAATCAAGAAAATTGTCCATATCCATTATGTTTCTAAACACAAAATGTCAAAGACATTAAAATAGGTACCAAATATTAAACTGAAGGAGCCCTCAAGGTACCTTTGATGCTCCCTCAAGTTTCATAGAAAATTAAGGGTCCCTCAAGACAGACAAGCCGACTATAAAAGTGAAATCTCGAGTTAAGGGCGCCTCACAATTGAGTAAGCCTCAAGTGAGATTTATAAATACGGGACTGAAGCTAACTGAGTTCGACGATTCCGAAAATATTCATTCAGGCGTTTACCACGTTCTCTGGTTACTTGGAGAACAGAATTCAATGAGTCAAGATTATACTACTTTATGTCAGGTTCTACGCGAGTCTACCTCCTATAGGAAGACAAGTAAAAGGTAACAGAATTGAAATTCGAGGGGTGTCGGACCAGTCCAGAAATTGAAGTATTGGACTGGAGATCCGAACTATATGTTCAAGGCACGGCATTGAAAGGTCCGCGAGTCTCGGACGAAGATCCTGTTACATAATGGACAAGAATATCCAGTTTGCAAAAATGCGATGTGGGCTATACATGGTGTAACAAAATTTAGAATAGAAAACATTGCAAAACCTCTAAAATCGAAAATTACTTCTAAACCAGACAAGAGGGGAAGACGCCAAACCCGACCTAACAAGATCCCTGAAAACCGTGTTAAAGCCGTAGATGACCACATAAGAAGTTTCCCTAGGCGATCTTCACATTATAGCAGGGAAAAAATAATGGAAGGTTATACTTACCTGCAGAGTTAAACGTAACTAAAATGCACAAATGATTTCAAGAAAAATATGAGCCTGATGTGCTAAGAGAAATGGAGGAAGGCAATGAAAGTAAGCCGAAAATAATTTACGATTTTTATTACCGTTATTTTTTACACAACTTTAATATAAGTTTCGGGTCCCCAAGGTCGGAGACTTGTCAGATATGCGATAGAATGCAAAACACTATAAATGCAGAGCGTATAACCACTCAAATGAAAATTTGATTGAAAACAGCTGTAATCTTAAAAAAATTCCCGTCACTTCCTCAAGAAAATTAGAGCAGACGCAAAATCGAAATTAGACCGTCACAATGATGATATCATGGATTGATATTAATGCAGCGAGAAAACTCAAATTATACTAAGTAACATATAAATCCGAACACCCAGTTTAAATGGTTTTATTTTAATAAAAGTTGGTGAATGTATTTATCTTACTGTAAATAACAAGTGAAAAAATTTTCAGCCTTATCAGTTGGACATTCCTGTTTTTATACTGCTTTTTTTTAATTCACTAACGTTCTAAAAATGAATATTTCAGCCGCAGTAAAGAATCAACGTTGGCGGATTTTGGTTCTTGACATCCTTTACGATCGGTTACGATGCCTAGAGTACGGAGACCTGTACGATTTCGTCAACTTAGTGAGTTTGATAGGGGCCGTATAGTGGGGCTTCGGGAAGCTGGACTTTCTTTTCGGGCAATTGCAGTTAGAGTGCAAAGAAGTGTAGACACTGGGGTTAGGTGTTGTCAGGCATGGCTTCGAGAAGGCCGTACGCAAAGAGCAAGGGGCACTGGACGCCGCCGTAGAACAACAGACCGTGAAGATCGCCGCCTAAGATTATTGGCCTTAAGGGACCGTTTCTCCACTACCAGGTCCATTGCAAATGAATGGTTTGCAGAACACGGAAGACCTACTGGCATGCGAAGTGTTTACCGATGAATGAGAAGTTTTGGCTTGTTTTCATACCGGCCACACTGGGTCCTCCCTTTAACTCGAGAACACCGACGTAATCGCCTTGAGTGGTGCAGACAACGGTCACTCTGGGATCAGGAATGGAACAGTATTGTCTTTAGTGACGAGTCTCGATTTTGTTTAGGCATGCACGATGGTCGTGACAGGGTTAGAAGGCGACGTGGTGAAAGGAGGAATCCACAGTTTTTTGTTGAAAGACATGTTCATCACACTGTTGGAGTTATGGTTTGGGGTGCTATAGCTTATGGTTCCAGGTCACCTTTAATTTTCATCAGAGGTAACATGAACGCGCAGCGTTATATCCACGAAGTTCTAGAACCCCATCTTTTACCCTATCTTGACACCCTGGCAGATCCAACTTTCTCAACAAGATAATGCCCGACCACATGTTGCAAGAGTCACAATAGACTTCTTTCAACATAAGGATGTCACATTGTTACCATGGCCACCAAGATCTCCCGACTTATCCCCAATTGAGCACGTGTGGGATATGATGGGTAGGAGATTGCTCAATTTGCAACGTCCTCCTCAGACTCTAGAAGCACTTCGAGAGGAGTTGGTGGTTGCCTGGAATGAGATACCACAGGAGGACATTGACCACCTGATCAGAAGCATGCCTAGGCGCGTTGAAGAATGCGTAGCATATCAGGGTGCATCCACACATTATTAAAGGTCAAAGGGCTTTAAAGCAGTGCAATCATTTTGAAATTTTTGTCATTTACTTATTATGCTTCATTAAGTACTTATACAAAATTTTATTAAAATAAAACCATTTAAACTGGGTGTTCGGATTTATATGTCACTTAGTATACATTCAACAAGTCGAACAACCCTTGCAGGTGTACATTCACAGTGAAGAGCAAATAGTCGTAATCAAACAGCAAATGTATAAGACTGAAAATAAGAAAATAACAGTTCATTTAGATGCCACAGGACGTGTAGTGCGACAGCCGGCAAATTCAAAAGATAAAGGGATACTTTTATATTCTCTGGTTTTACAGATCCGGCAACATGGAAATTCTACCGTTTGTAGTATATCGGACTTTATTTCCGCGAAACATAACAACGTGAGCATATCCGCCTGGTTAAATAATTTCAAAATCTACTGGGAATCATATAGTAGTATGTGGGCAATCTTTGATCGCGTTGTGACGGACTTTAGCTTTGTGGAAATCAAATAATAATATAATTATGTGCCTGTTACCGATTACTTGAATATTTGTTACGAAATAGCATTTTTGGGTGCGATACGCAACAACATAACTCACCTCTCTTTATGTTGCGTCCACCTAATGAAGATTTTTTCAAACGTTATAAATAAGTATTTTGAGGACAGACGCGTGAAAAACATATTAAAAGAGAGTTTCGCTTCTGTCTTCAACATGCGGAATATACGTGATTATGAAAGGTGGTACAAACATTTTCTAGTATTAACCAATAGAAAGTATATAAGCCTATCGGTAGATCAGGGGTCACCAAATGGCGGACTGTGGTCCGCATCCGGACCGCCAACCTATTTTGTGCGTACCTTGTGTTATATGCCTGCTTTACACTTGGAAAGTTTACCGGCGGAAAGTACTTGCCGCCAGTAAACTTGCCATGTGTAACTCAGAAAAAAGTACAAGTGTCCGATTGCCGGCAAGTGTCAAGTAAAGTTAAGGAGCCGGCTACTTTACTGGCTGACTTTCCTGTCCAGACGCGTTTGTTTCCCTGTGTAGACAGTCCCTTGACAAGTTTAGAAAGTTAAAATGAAGTGGAACAGTGATCAAATAATAGCATTTTTAAATCTATATGAAAAGTATGAAGTACTGTGGGATACACGAAGCAATTAAAGAGGGGTACTGCATTTGACAGTCTATTGAAAGATCTGAAAGAAATGGAAGGATTTGAAAACGTAGATGTGCCCATGATGAAAACTAAATTAAAACCATAAAAACTGTATACAGGCAAGAATTAAATAAAATTCCAAAAAAGTGGATCTGGTACAGATGATGTATATAAGCCGAAGGTTATTTGGTTTGCTAAGGCAGATATATTTTTGAGGAATTTCACCATCAGCAAGAAGACAACAAACACCATGGTAAGGGCATATATTTTGTTTTAATGTTTATATATACGTACATATTAGTTAGATATATTATTTATTATGTAGGGCTCTATCAACACATTGCTTCATAAGCCTATCATTCTATCTTGCCGCTCTATGAACATATTGCTTCATAAGCCACGGTACAGCGCCTTCTGTATTTCTCACACAATAGCCTTGCAGATTGTGAATAGTTATTTGTCCCTAAATTTGCGACAGATTGCAATGGTTCAACTTCAGAACGCCATAAACCATTTATGATTTCTCTTGTATCAATATCATCTCTGTCAATCGAATTTCTAGGAACATATACCCTGGAACTTGTAGTTCGGAGCCAGTTATGCAATGCACAAGAAGCTTTCACTACCAGATCTACAGTATCTAGTTTTAAGTTAATAACTTTGTGAAATATTCGGAATCTTGCGCATAAAATACCGAATGCATTTTCCTGGCTCGCGACAGACGATAATTAAATATTCTTTGTTTAATAGTTAGCGATCCGGTATAAGGTTTGAGAAGATTATTCCTCAAAGGGAATGCATCATCACCTATTATTAACGGCGCTCTCACAGTCAAGCAGAGTTTCTGAGGGGTATCGGGGGGGTGATAGGGAAACGCTAGTAGGACGGCGTTGTGACAAGGCAAGCGCTCTACGTTAGAAAAGGATAGTAATACGCAGAGGTGTGCTGTTCACGTGCCTGGTTGAATTTGCATATTGCACAGAGTCGGATTTGATTTGGATATACAATCTAGCGTACGACTGTTTCCCTATTTTGGCGCATAGTATACCCAGCCCTTATTACTCTTATTACCGTTATTGTATTGTTGTATTATCGTGTTGTTATTGTTGTGTTGTTATTGTTGAGTGTCCTTCTTATCAAGGTATCAAAAATGAACAATAAGAGAAATAAACGTGGCGTCTCGAAGAAGCCGCATTTAAATACGCACAGGAAAAAAAACGTTTTCCAGATAGAAAGGTAGGTACCAAAACAATTATGAATTTTAGCATTCATTTTGCCAATAAATTAGACTATACGTAGTTACTATTATAACTATATTTTATATGTTATTTTAGCTTAAAAATGACAGCAAGGTTTCGCATATGCATTCTCTAACAGAGACAGATGGCATGGATCTTCAAATTCAGGTGTGTATACCCTTTTTTTAGATTTGCACCAGAGGCTGATATCATTTCTGGCAATTCTGATTAAAAATGCAGTAAGTTTACTTCATGACGTCGATAATAATATTGTAGAGCAGTTTAACTCAATCATAGCTAAATTCATTGGTGGTAAACGGATTAATTATTGCAAGAAGAGATCCTACCAAGGAAGATGTGCTGCAGCCGTAGTGAGCCACAATACACAGCGGCCTGTTTGTGTGATCCAAAAGCGGCTACTCCCTAGTTTCAGTCCAACCTCTTTGATTGCTAAAGTTGAAGAAAGGAGAGCGCACAAAAATCTGAAAAGGCAGCTGAAACCAAGGAAAATTATCAGATCTATCAGAGATAGTGATACTAAAGAGAACGCATCCTAAGGGGAATTCTGTGAGAAGCCTGACATGAGCAACGAAGATAAAGAGGCTGCCAAGGTAGAATTCTTGAAAAAACTTGCAAAAACTGACTCCGAAATTTCCCAGATCGAGCAAGCCACAAAATCTCAGGATTGCAATTTGTGGCGTCTTCATCGAAGAATGAGGTTGACTGCGTCTCGGTTTGGTGAGGTTTGTAGAAGAAGAGATACAACAAGTTGCAGAGCTCTAGTAAACGCCATAATATACCCAACCGAATTCTTTAGCAATTCATGTGACTATGGAAAAAAGCATGAAAGCGTGGCAAAAGCAGAAATAGAGAAATCATATTCGCAATCAGAAGTACAATCTTGCGGGTTGTTTATTGATAGGACCCATCCATTTCTGGCAGCATCGCCAGATAGTTTGATAGGCGAAAAAGGTCTGCTAAAAATTAAATGTCCATGGTCGGCTAGAGAAATGACCCCTGAAGAGGGCATTCTGAACAAAAAAATTACGTTTTGGATAAACGATGAAATAAATAAAAAACATAAGTGGTATTACCAAATTCAAGGGCAGCTACACGTTGCACAAAGAGTGTGCTTGGTGTTTGGACCCCGTATGGTTTGAAAATAGACGTCATTCAAAAGGATGACGTTTTCTGGAAAACTGAAATGGAAGAGAAATTGAAATTCTTCTACATGAACTGCTTGCTCCCAGAACTGGTCGATCCCAGGAAAAGCAGAAATATGCCAATCCGCGATCCCGATGTGATCTTGAAGGCACAAGAGAACCGTTTGAACAAGAAAAAGAGTTCTTGAGAATTGGCTATTTTTGCTGTACTCGGGTACCAAAATGGAAGAGATTAGCATATTAAATTGTACGCCGTTACTAACCCCTTCGTGTCGGCAAATGCGGTGTGCAGATCTCGCTTTAGCAGCGATGTGCGAGATGTTATGCTGTTAGATGGCGAATATTGAAATGTCACATTGACACGTTAAGCGCCACAGTAGGATCTGAAAATCCAGTCCACTGGGCCAAACTGTTATTATTGTCAAATTAGCTTGTTTTAAGTTTCGGTTTAATATTTTGACTTGACTTTTTTCTCAAATCCTATGATTTTTCCCCTTTTTTGATTTTTTTTTCTGAGGTACTAGTTGTATGTCGCGTGGCCCACAGACCAGTCGGGTCGCGTGGCACATAAGTCGTGTCGCGTTTTTTGTAAGTCAAGACTTGCAACATGTCGCGCGTTGAGCACTGTTTCGTGTCATTTATTATTGAAGCGTTGTTGGTATTGTACGTCATCTTGTCCAAATTGCTTTACTGTTTAAAAAATATTGAATACCAAATTTAGTGATGTCGCATTACGAAGCGGAGCAAAAAAGGCTTGAACAATTGTGTAATGAAATACTATCGGATGAAGAGAGTGGCAGTACTGAGTTATGTGGGGATGTATACTTATCTGATGCGTATTCTCCAAGTGGTAGTGAATCAGATAGTAGTTGTAGTAATTCCATATTTATCTGTATTACTGTTTATTTATACCGGTATTTTGTTTATTCCTGCATAAGACTTTGTCAATCTGTTTACTTTATAAGGGTTCCTCCATATTTGAGTTCGTTAGAATATCGACATTTACCATAACTTACTGATTTGCTGTGAAATTACTTTGCTCATTTTTTAATGAGAATGTCTGATTATTTTATAAGATTTGCTTTTTGTTTTAGATTTGTAGAATATCCTCTTTTTGTAAAACTCTATAAAAAACGTGTTTTTTAATGTTTTCATTTCCAATTTAGTATAATTTGGTTCCTCAGACCACGGACTCTTGGTTCCCGTAAGAAAATCACATCAGCATGGCACACGTCTTACGTTACGCGGCCAAATATAACTGCCAGCAGTGAGACATATCATGTGTGTCACGAGGCCCAAAGCGCCAAATGAGGTGCGACACACGCATTATATCTCATGACGCTTATCGTGTTAAGTTTATTTTACGATACTTCATAAGGTTAAAGCTAAACAGCAAGTGACATTTTATTTGTGTTAAATGCGCTCACTATAATTATTATTTTTAACTAAAAAGATTACCGTCTCCAATGACCCTGGAACCACCTGGAAACTTTTGGTCACAAAGTTCTGTATTTTACCACACATGTCAAGTCTTTTCATTTGATATGTAAATTGGGGGTTTTGTACAAAAATATGTAACTCGCAATTTCGAAACGGCGGCAATCTTGGAATCAAATTTTTAGTGAAGTACTGTATTCTGCAAGTATGTTATCCGCCATTTTGTGACGGCCGCCATCTTGATTTGAAACTGTTTTCGTATTACTGTTTTGTACAAGTGCTATTTGATATCCATATTGGGGTGATTGAACAAAAATGTGTGCTATCACCTCTGAAGCATTGCCTATTGTATAAAAAGAAATGATCAAAATCACTTACTGGTCCGATTTTTATCTCGAACGACCGACATCAAAACTGCTACTGTTTAACTTGCGACAACAAATTATCTGAATACGTCCTTTCTTAGTCCGTACACACCGCCGCGTTGCTTCGACTGGCAGCACGAGATAGTTGATAAAATTCGTGTAAAAGCCTATTTGCAGAGGTTTTCGCGCTTCAAAATTGACGCTTCATTTTTGAATATTTTTCAATGAAATTTTCACAGTGCACTAAAAACAAGACTCCACAGGGTGCTATAGAGCCACTTTTTCGTTTTTTCCTCTGGGTTATTTTTAAAAAAATCGAGAAGTCGAACAACAATTATCTGCATTTCCACCCACCATAACTCCTGAAAAAAATTTTTTTTTAGAAAAGTGGCTCTATAGCACCCTGGACAATTGTCTTCTGAACATACTGTATAAATTTTATTCAAATATATAGAAAAATGGAGCGTCAATTCCGAAGCAGCTAAACCCTTGTAAATGGCCTGAAACTCACTGCGTCGGAGCCGCCTTAAGGAATCTTGTGGAAAATTTAATGATCCATTTATCATAGCCTTATTCAAATCAGAATTCCTAAATATAGTGCTATCATTTGCTCTACCATCGGTCCCTACTTCTATATATTTAAAGCAATAATCTGCGTCAACTAAAGCAAAAAGAGTTATGCTGTAAGTTCTTCTATAATTATAGAATTGGGATCCACTATTCGGTGGGCGCTGCACCTGAACGTGTTTTCCATTTATCGTTCCGCAGCAATGAGGGAAATTCCACTGTGCAGAAAATCCTTCTTCAATATGTCTCCAGTCTTCTTCACTTTCAGGAACCTGTAACAACATATGTTTAGATTTAAAATTTTTATTTCTCCATGCTGTATTTATTAACGTTATATCAATAGGTATCGTGTTATGTACACGTATATTATTACTTAATTAATTTTGTTTTCAGAGCGAACAGAATAACAGAAATGAAGTGCACAGTGCAGAAGATGAAAATGATGAAACGCCAAGTGGGTCAAAAGGTATTGAATATGAAACACAATTCCACGATGATCACCCATTACAAACACCAAAACGAAAAAAGTGTAGTAAAGATAAGGCTGCTCGTAGTCTTCCCATACAAACTGCAATCGACAATCTAAAGGAGATTGTACAACAAAATGAAGGGAAATTGGACGATGAATACGACTGTTTTGCTAAACACGTTGCTTCCCAAATGAGACAACTTCCTGTACCAAGTTTTATAATTTTGCAGGAAAAAATCCAAAAACTGATTACTACTGAGAGATTAAATCAATTTGCATCAGTAAGCCAGAATTTTCAGAACAGCGAACCACATCAAACCTTACAAAATCCATACCATGTATCCAACCAGAACCACCACTATTCACAAAACAATTTCTCAGGCTTACGGAACCATCCGAATTTCCAGACTTCATCATCGATGCATAGCCAAAACAACCAGTATCAATGTGAAGAGATTACCTTGCACCAACTGGAAACTAGACCCTCGACATCGTCATCCAATTACTCTCAGGAACAATCTTCTGACATTATCGAAGCTACACTATCTGGTATTGATTATAGTGACATTTAAAACCGGCAAATATGTTTACTCATAGAAAATGTAATAATTTCCAAATAAAACCATAATTATGTAAACTATGTTTTCTTACCTTTATGTAGTTGCCAAGCACTTCGTATACAGCCAACAGAACATCTGGTAAAAAAGCATAAATAGTGCACCTCGGTAGTCTGTATAAGTATTGTAGAGAGGCCAAACTGTCGCCACTAGCCAGGTATCGCAATGTCACCTCCAATTTTATTCGGGGAGAAAGTGGGGCTCTCATAAATGTCTCCGATTTTGTAAGTTTTGAACTAGTGTTAATAATTCATCAAATTTTGAGGGCGATAATCTCATAAAATTCTTATATGTTTCTGGATCTTCGGTTGCTATCTCTTTTAGAAGTCGAGCGGAAGCCCCTAGAATATTTCTGCGCTTAATCCAAGCCTTTACCCATAAAATATAACCTCAAAATTATTCGCTTTTGTACCCATGGGGTAAGATGGCGGGGGTAAAATGACGAATTCGTCATCTTACCTCTATAATGCAAATTTTGTTTCAGAATGCCGAGAAAATATAAGCGGAAAAGTAGTAGTAGTAGACGGGAGTGGTCGGATATTGCATTAAAATCGGCCATGCGTGATGTAGAAGAAGGCACATTATCGTGCAATGCTGCTGCTGGAACATACGACATTGCAGAACCGACCCTTCGGCGATATTTGAAGAAGAAAATGGAAGGCGTCGACCTACCACAGCATGCAGGCAGATTCAAGAACACTTTTAATACTGAACAAACACAAGATTTTGTTCGTTACATCCAAGAGTGCAACGCAAGAGGACAAGGTTTAACATTGATACAGGTTCAAAAATTAGCATTTGAATATGCGGAAACAAATGGGATTGAACACAGATTCAACAAGCAAAATAAAATGGCAGGCATTGACTGGGTTAGACAGTTTAGAGCAGAAAACAATCTGAGCCTGCGAAATCCAGAACCAATATCAATTACTCGCCTGAGGGGGTTCAACAAACTTGCAGTGGAAAAATTCTTTAATATTTTAAAAGATGTACGACTGAAATATGAGCTACCTCCTGAGCGCATATACAACGCCGACGAGTCAGGTGTTTCCACGGTACCCACCAAATTGCCAAAAATATTAACTCCAACCGGGCAAAAAAGAGCTGCGAAAATAGTGTCGGCGGAAAGAGGTCGAAACACCACAGTCGTATGCGCTATGAATGCGGTTGGTTCATATGTTCCACCATTCTTCATCTTCGCTCGGCGCAGAATGAAGCCCGAATTATTGCACGGGTGTCCTCCTGGAGCTGACGCTTTGGCCCAACCGTCGGGCTGGATGACATCCGACAGTTTCCTTGCTTATTTAAAACATTTTGCTCGACATACACATCCTTCTAAGGATAAGCCATTGTTGTCGACAATCACAGCTCCCATATTCCACTTGGCTCAATCAATTACTGTAGGGATACGGGAATAATATTGGCACGACTCCCCCCTCACACTAGTCACTGCCTCCAACCCCTCGATGTCAGTTTTTTTTCGGCCATTGAAATAATTCTATGTTCAAATGTGCGACGCATTTTTAGTTAATCATCCTGGATGTCAAATCACAGACCGAAATTTAGGGCCTTTATTTGGAGAGGCCTACGGTAGAGCAGCAACGGTTAATAATGCATTAAAGGGCTTCAAGGCTTGTGGGATAGAACCTTTTAATCCTTTAATATTCGATGACAGCGATTTTGCTCCTGCAATTACAACTGAGCGTGAAAACCCATCAGATGAAACTGAAGCTCCTATAGAAAAAATCCGATCTGATGGCCCAGAGAAAGTTGTCACAAGAAAACGAAAAATCGTAAATTCCTCATCTGAAGACGACCAGGACGATTTTATTCCCTTGTCTGTATTGAGCTACAAGATAAAATCTACATCTACACCTGAGGAAAGGGGAGTTGCAGCCGAAAATTCTTCAGGCAAAGCATTTGAAACAGCAAAAGAAGCTGCGAAAAAATTATTTTCGATAGACGATCAGGCTGGATCGAGTTGTTCAGACAAGAGCCTGTGGGATTTAAGACCAATTGCAACCTGTGATCGTTCTGGAAAGTCACAAGTTCAAAAAAAGATGTCGGCTTCGATAATTAGCAGCACGCCTATGAAGGAAGAGCTGGAACTCAAAAAGCAATTAATGGAGGAAAAAGAAAATAAACGTAAATTAAAAGTATCCACTTCAGTAACCAAAAAACCCAAAGACATAAAAAATAAACCAAAGAAAAAACCTAACAAAGAGCGGGATGACGTTAAGACAAAGTCGAAAGATGCAAGTAGTGAAGAAAGTAAGCAGAAATATTATTGCCCAGGGTGTGGAGAATTGTATGTCGACCCCACTACAGAAAATTGGGTCCAGTGTACTGGGTGCTTGGAATGGTGGCACGACAAATGCTCTAGATTTGAGGGCAGCAGTGACTTTAAGTGCGATTTTTGAGACTAGTCATCTTGCCCCAATAGATTCGTCATCTTACCCATGCCATGGGGTAAGATGACTAAAGTGCAATGTTTTGTTTTAGTTTTTATTGTGAAAAAATGTTTAACTTTCGATGTTTTTTACGTATGCCAAATGAAAGGCAATGAGCAAGGCTCCATTGTGCCTGAGTTGATGTAGCTTAATAAAAAAGTTTACCGTAAAAACAATTGTTTTTCCTTAACATCACCATCTTACCCCCTGTTCCCCTACCATGATCGCAACAAAAAAAATGCCGCCTACCACAGGCTGGTCGAAAAATACAAAAACATTGATCCAAATGCCAACAGGGACATAGTGGTTAAGAAAATTAATAATCTTAGAACTGCATATAAACAAGAGCTTAATAAAATAAAAAAATCGCATAAATCCGGAGCAGGAACTGACGAGATTTAGGGCCCCCGCGCACTAGGCAGCCTGGCTACGCAGCCAGGCTGCGGCAGCCAGTAAAACATATGACGTTGTATAGGAGCCCGCGCACTAGGCAGCCACGAATTCCCGGCTGCGGCAGCCAACACAACGCGCCTGTTTGCACGGCAGCCGACTGGCTGCCCGCAGCCAGAACGTGTGTAGGCGAATGTATGTGGCTGCGCCAGTCTCCGCGCACTAGTTGTAGCTGCCAGACGTATTTTGCGTTCCGAACTTTTTCAAAAGATGACTTTCGATACAGAGAAATTTATTCGGGAAATTGAAAGCCGTAAAGCAATTTGGGATATAACATCAGAAGAATACAGTGATCGTGATTTAAAGAAAAGAAGATGGGAAGAAATCACGAACACAATGTGCTCGGAAAATTTATCAGAAAATGAAAAAAATGAATTTGGTAAGCATGTATTTTTATTATCTGGATTATACAGTATAATACAGTGTGATTCTGCACCACCAATCAATATTTTTGTAAGTTATCGTACAATAACTCTATATTAGTTATATATTATTTTTTTTACTTAACTAGGTATTTTCACCTCGATGTTTTATTTAGATAAATAGGTAAGCACTATTTTAATGCATATCTGTTTTGCCATTCTAACGGATTTGCATCAATAAAATAATCCGCAAATAAATCCCTATAAGATGCTGATGATCGGCTGCCTCTATTTGTGGGTCCCCCGGTTATTTCCAGTTCTGGTGGAACGTACAGTGTGTCTTGAAATATATACCCGTCTCTTTCGCGCACGTAGTTATGTAAGACACAGCATGCTTGTACATGGCAATTGCAAGTTCCTGTCGGACATCTAGTGGACGGTGAAAAATTCTCCATTTGTTGGCTAAAATCCCAAACGTGCATTCTATGTACCGCCTTGCCCGAGACAGTCTATAGTTGAAGATTCGTTTCTTCGCTGTTAAACTCCTACCTCCATAAGGTCTCATTAAATTTTCACATAAGCCAAATGCCTCATCCCCCACTATGACGTATGGCATCGGTACTCCATTATTTGATATGGGGCGCTTCTCCGGGATTTGTATATCTTTGTTAACAAGTTTTTGATACAAAATGAATTTTTTATATATAGATGAGTCACTACATTTTCCATAAGCCCCAACATCTATATATGTGAACTTGTAATCTGCATCGCACACAGCAAGTAAAACGATGGAAAAATAATTTTTATAATTATAGTACAGTGATCCTGAATCGCTGGGTTTTATTACTCTTATATGCTTTCCATCGATGGCACCAACGCAATTGGGATAGTTTGCATTTTCATTGAAACCTTTTGCTATTTCAAGCCACCTCTCTTCATTTAATTCTGGAAACGATGACTGTCTCATATTCTCCCAAATTGCCATGCAAACTTCATATATGATATCTCGGACATTTGTATGTCCAATCCGATAATTATGACTCAATTCCATCATAGAACATCCTGTAGCAAGATATCTGTAACAAAGAACAAATATTAATTTTCAGGTAAATTTCTACAGAGCAAGTGGAAGAACATCAGGACTAGTTACAATAGGGAAGTGAAACGCAGAGCTGGTTTCAAAAGTGGATCAGCAGCTTCGCGCAAGAGTCCATACGTATATTTCGAACAACTTCATTTTCTTCGGCCCACCGTAGTTATTAATGAAACTCAAAATAGTATGGATGAAACACGCACTGCCGAAACCAACGATAACAGCGGTAGTACGCAAGGTGAACGACATGTTTCCAAAAAGAAGAAGACAAGTGGCGACGACAATTTGGCGCAGGTATTAAAGGAAAGTATTGTAATGAGAGAAGAGCGTGAAAGACAGCACGAGTCTGATTCAGATAGACTATTTATGCTTTCACTTCTAGATGATTTTAAAAACATCCCGAGACATCGTAAGCTTTCTACAAAAATGGAGTTAATTGAAGTTATAAAAAGAGATCTAATGGAAACTCACGATTCCGAATTTAGTCCGTTTCGGCAACGTTATGTTGATTATGAACCAGGAACATCGGCCGCCACATCATATAGACCACAAACATCGTTCAGTGGACAATATCGCCAAGGTCAAGGATACTCGACTGAATATGGACCGGAAACCACAAGTGGTGGGCAGTATCACTATATGCACTCGACACACTCGAATTATAGACCAGAAGCCTCGACCACTGAAAGCCCCCGTGGGTATTCTACGGCTGTTCCAGACAGGCAAGACAATACTGTTTATACTGATGCGTTATCACCAACTGACACAAATACAACAGATACGTCTCAGGGTTCTGAATTACTAGAACTATTTACTACACAGGACAACTTGAACTAGGAAATTCATTACCATACATGTAAGAAATAAATAATAAATGTTATGACTAATTAACAGTAATTGAAGAGTATAACTTCTAAAGGGTCTAAGTGCCAATTGATGAATTTTTAGTTAGAGTATGAAAAACGGTTCGAAGTTCCAACCCCAATAAAAACAAAGAGTCTATGTGCCAGTAACATATCTAAACGGTTCTACTGTTAATCCAAAAATAAAATAAAAAATATGTAATAGGCTTTTCGTATTGTTTTTGTATTGTTTTTCTCGTTAATCCCAAAATCATAATTTTGGCACTTAGACCCTTTAGAAGTTATACTCTTCAATTATCTATCATTTTCGTACTCACCTCAAAGTTATCACCAGTTTTTCTTCAGGACTTATACAAGCTCGCATACGAGTATCAATACCCTTGATTGAATTTCGTATTTTTTCCAAAAGGTTATCAAACGATTGCACTGACATTCTCGTGTAGTTAAAAAACCGGTCTGGGAATGCACGAACATCTTTGAAATAGGTTTGGAATAAGCCTTTTGAGTGTCTTTCTAAAAAAAGAGGATGAATCCAGTGTCTTTTCTTTGTTTTGCGTTTTTTACAAGATAGATAAGCAATAATTATAAGTTCTTCCACGTTCATATCGCTCGACGGAAGGATCTAGACTAGTCGTTGATTGGCTGCTATAACTGGCTGCGCAAACATTCTGGCTGCCGCAGCCTGGCTGCGTAGCCAGGCTGCCTAGTGCGCGGGGGCCTTTATACTCCTCACTTATGGTACTTTGAGTTGCTAAGTTTTTTATACGATCAAGAAGTACCGAGACCATCGATATCGAACATGGATGAGGACGAAAATGAGGTAGGCTTTATTTCTCAGAAATTATTTATTGTTTATTGTTACATATTCCAATAGGTATTGTGTGATTATTACATGCTAAATACATTTATGCATTTTTGATATTAAGGTAGTACGTTTTCCATATCAAGTCTATTTATCCAAATACGCAATCAAGAAATAATCAAAGCTTAGCACGTCATTATTAGGTTATATAGGATGACTCTCCATCATCGCGAAAAAAGTTAAGGTCATGTATACGAGCAACTCCTTGTATAGGACCAACTTCGGAGTCGTGAAAAAAAATCAGATGTTCCATACATTTCGCCTCGCATTTCGCTTGATTGAATTATAATTTTTCTATGTAACAGCTGATGTTTTTCACAATTTCGAAGTTCGTCCCATGCAAGAGTACACTGACCTTAACTTTTTTCGCGACGATCGAGATATAAGATGGTATAAGATGGTAATTATGTTGTTGAAACGTTCTACCTCAATGAATGAAACTGTCTTGCCAAGGAACTGTTCCTTCACTTACAAAATACGTCATAAATTGACATCTAATCTGATCTGCTGTTCGAAGTGCACGGCCTTGGATAGTTCTTTGTAATGATTCAAGTGATGACTCTCCTGTTGTGAGTCCTGACGTACCCGCTTCAAAATTTTCTCTATCAAAACATTCTGACGGAGCATATGAATTAAACGATGATGACATCAAATAATTATGCAAAGCACAGGTTGCTCTTACGACTGAACCAATCGTTTCAGGTGACAGGTTTATTTGTGTTCTGTAAACTCTGAACCTCGCCGCTGGTATGCCAAATGCGTTTTCGACTAAGCGGCGTGCTCGTGATGTCCGATAATTATATATCTTCTTACTTCTAGTGTCTAAGTCACTTTTCCGAAATGGTTTCATCATGTCATTTCTTAGAGGAAAGCTACAAGTACATAGGGCAGTATTCGTGGACTATTTTGCAACCTTTCTGTTGTGGGAATATTTAACGTCTTTTTTTCAAGTTTTTCATAAAATTTGGTATTCAACAATACTCCACCATCGGAAACCCTACCATTTGTTCCAAAATCAACTAACAGGAATCTGTATGTTGCATCAACGATGGCCATAAGTACCATACTATGTCTATATTTATAGTTATAAAAATATGAGCCACTGTAGCTTGGAGGCACGATTTCAACGTGCTTACCATCAATGGCACCTAAACAATGATTAAAGTTCCACTTGTCCTGAAATTATCTCGCTATTACTCTCCAATCCTGTTCTGTTTTCGGAAACTGTAAAAGGCGCTCTACACTTGGCCCGCGGATCGCGCGCGAAGGCTGCGACATGGCGCGAACGCTAAGTGTGGAGCCGATTCGCATATTCTCCGCGCATTCGCGCTTTTTTCCCCGATTTTTGTCGGTGTTTTGTACCGCGTCAAAGGGAGCGCGAAGCGCGAACGCGACAGGAACGTGCATGACTCCACACTCGCAGTCTGCGATGCTCAGTGTTGATCGAGCTGTTGTACGTGCCAGTCGGATTTAATGTGGACAAAATGAGCGTAACGTGGTCGAATGAAATGGAGATGCAATTTCTCGAGATTTACCAATCAGAACCTATTTTGTGGGACCCCAAACAAAAGGATCACAAAAATAAATTAAAAATGCATGACGCATGGATGCGCATCAGCGCAATTATAGAGATACCAGTTCCTGATTTGAAGACGAAAAGAGATTCGTTGCTTTCAAGCTACAGAAGCTATAAAACTAAAGTAAAGAAATCCTTAAGTTCGGGTGCTGGCGCCGACGAGGTTTACAAGCCCGTTTGGTTCGCCTATGAATTTATGGATGCCTTCTTGAGCGACACCACAAAATGTAATAAAACTATTAATACGGTAAGTAATGTTTTATTAACGATTAAAATAGTTACAAAATTCGTTCCTTATCTCGATGGCATTAGCAGCGGCACGGCGGGGTATATGTCGCACATTACGAATTGCAGATGTTCCTTCAATTTCACTCCTCCACGAGCCGGGTTGTATAAGTACATCATTGTTGTCATATTGGTCAATAGTACCGGGTGGTGTATAAATGTGGGCAGAAGTCCTGCTTCGCCTCAAATAATTGTGTAATAAAATACATGTCATGGTCACAATACTGGCTTTATCTGGCTGTAGTTGAATAGGTCTTTTAAAAATTCGGAACTTTGTCACCATTACGCCAAACGTATTTTCTACAACAACCCGTGCTCTTGATAATTTCTGGTTGCCACGTTATGGTTACCAGGATATGGTCTCATAACATGTTGTGAAAGGGCAAAAGCTCCGTCTGCCAATAAGACATAGGGTACGTCAATATTTGAATTAGGAAGAGGATGCGGTGTTGGTAAATTTAATTGGTTTGTGCAATTTTTTTTCCACAAAAGACAATTTCCAAACACTCCACCGTCGCTAATTCTTCCTTGACATCCAATATCAGCAAAAATAAATTTGTATTGGCTATGTACTACTGCTAGTAGTACTATACTAAATGTTCGTTTGTAATTGTAATATTGAGATCCAGAGTTAATTGGGTTTTCCAAAACGATATGTTTGCCATCTATAGACCCAATAGCTCGGGGAAATGTTGGCGAAAATCCTTTTTCGATTTCTAACCATTCATTTGGCCACGAAGGAATCTGAAACAAAAAATAATAGTATTTATTTATTTTCAGGAAGGGGAGCCTGCGAATGTCGATCATTTTCAGGAAGAAAATAATGCATTCCCAGAAGGTAATTCAAGTGGTAGACAAGGAAGTGAAATTCAGCAAGGAGGTGACAGTCAAAATGTAAATAGTGAAGGCAATGTCCAACAAACAATTCGGCGGCGCCGAAATCCTCCAGAACTTCTAGCCGCGGGAAAAGTTGTCAAAGAAGATCTGGACACTTTTGCAACAACATTAACAAGGGCTGATATCGAAAAACAACCCAAAGAAGTTGACGATTGTGAGTTGTATGCTCAACTCCTGGCAAAAAAATTAAGAAAAATGTCCGAAGAAAAAAGACTTAGACTGATGCACGATATAGATGGCATGGTTTTACGCCATCAGTATGGGTACCAATCAGAAACATACTTTTCTGCATCGCGATCATCACCCTCTCCATCATATTTTCCAAACGGTCCCAACCAATTTCAGCGACCTGGTACTTCAGCCTCAAGTTATTCTGATTCGGCTGTACACTATACTCCACAGAGAATAATAGTAAACCATTCAAAGAGGGCGTCTAGCACTGAATCCTCTAGTCAATCCCTGCCACCATCTTATAATTATACTCCAATAGTCATCCCAAATAAATCTAATGATGATGTGGGCCCAAATATTCTGATACACGCTGATGAACAAATTTACCCACCCGTGACTCATGCGCCGGATGAAGACTCTATAAGTGAACCAAGTATAATAGAACAAGCTTTCAATATCAGTTAAATATTTATATAGTATATATAAATAGTAATATAAGTGTAGGGCTATCTGTTGTTTGTCTAGGGGTTCTGCTCTCAATTCTTCTCGCTTTTCACAAAACTGTTCAGTCATTTCAGTTTCGATTGCTTCCAAAATTCTCGTATCTTCTTTACTCCTCATCTTGGTTCCTATCAGTATCTCAAACGGAGTAGTACCGATACTTCTTTGATATGTCGAATTTAACACCATCTGCAGTTTTTCAACTTCGATACTCAACTTCGTCAAAACAGGGATTATACTTCTATTTATCCGTTCGACTTGTCCATTTCCTCGGGGTATTCCTGTAGTAATTTTGACGTGCTCGATATTCTCTTCTCGGCAATAAAATTCAAATTCTTTGGACGTAAAAGCCGTTCCTCTATCTGAGATTAAAGGGTTGCCAAAGACCTTCTGTTGTTCCTTCAGGCAATCTATGGTCTCCTTTGACGTCGTGGATCTAGTCGGGTATATCCAGACAAACTTGGAAAAATCATCAATTACGATCAACGAATGTTGGTACCTTTTCTTGGTGGATGGTAACGGTCCTAGATGGTCAATATGGTACGTGTGCAATGGTCCATGTTGCTTGTCAATGGGATGCAGAAAGCCTTCCTGCTTACCTTCTTTCTTGCGTCCCAGTATGCATAGTATGCAGTTTCTGATACAAGCTTCTATCTTCTCTTTCAACTTTGATATGAAGTATTCGTTCTTCAACAGCTCTTCTGTCTTTTTCACAGAAAAATGTCCTTTCTCGTGAGCTTTCTTGATTAGCTCTGTTTGCATCGCTTTCGGTACAACTAGGAGTTCTTTGCCTTTGTCATACTTGTACATAATGTCATGTTTCAGCAAGTAACCTTCATAATCTTTTTCCTTGGCTAGGACTGTCTTTATTGTCTTCAAATTTTCATCTTTTGCTTGAGCTAGTCTTATCCTATTCACTATTCCTTCGTCTTCAGTGATCGTCATTACCACTGGATATCGGCTAAGAGCGTCTACGTGTGGCATTCTGTCTCCTCTTCTATGTTCTATGGTGTAGTCATACTCTTCTAACAACAAAGCCCATCTTGCTACTCTTGTTGTCAAATCTTTCTTATTCATTGTCTTTTGAAAAGCGGAACAATCTGTAACAATCTTGAATGTTACACCTAATAGGTAAATTCTAAACTTCTTGACCGCCTGAATAACAGCCAAAACTTCAAGTTCATAACTGCTATACTTTTCTTCAGCTGGTGTCGTTTTTTTGCTCATGTAGTATACAGGGTGAAACTTCTGGTCTTCACTACATTTTTGCATTAAGCATGCTCCATATCCAAATTTACTGGCATCGGTATGTAATTCTATTTCACAACCTTGCTGGTAAATATGTAGCACTGGTTCCGTCGTCAACAACTTCTTTAACAGGTCAAAAGCATGTCGTTGTTCATCCTCAAATCTGAAGGGTTGATTCTTCTTCAACAGATCACTTAATGGTCTAGCGATAGCTGCGTAACCGCATATGAATTTTCTGAAGTACCCCGTCAATCCTAAAAATGATTGGATCTGTCTATGCGTCTTAGGCTCTAGAAACTTCCTGATAGCTCGAGTCTTTTCTTTGGATGGTTGAACTTTCCCATCTTCTACGATGAACCCTAAAAATTCTACCCTTTTCTTCAACAGTTGACACTTTTCCTTTTTAATTTCCAAACCGTAGTCTCTTGCAACTTCTAATACCGACTTTAATTTTTCAATGCCTTCTCTCTCGTCAAGGCTAGGAACAATAATATCATCCATATAATAAACACAAATGTTTTTGTTCACTAGTGGCCGAAAAATGTGACAAACAAATCTCTGAAATACTGCCGGACTGTTACATAATCCGAACGGACATCTTAAGAATTCATATTGTCCATTATGGGTGACGAAACTCGTGTACTTCCTACTGGCTTCTTCTACAGCTACATGAAAGAATCCATTCTTCAAATCGATCGTACTGAATACTTTAGCTCCTTGCAAGTTATCTAGGACGTCTTCTATCACGGGCAATGGAAATCTGTCTTTAATTACTTTCCTGTTCAACTTCCGATAGTCGCAGCAAATTCGTGTTCTTCCACATCTTTTTTCTGTACTAACACTAAATTACTTGAAAAATCTGATGAGCTCGGTCTTATTATTTCTTCTTTCAACCATTGGTCTACCTGGCTTTCTACTGCTTCCTTCCGCGATGTGGCCATTCTTCTTGGTGTTTCATACACTGGTTCTTCGTCTTTCAGAACAATCTTCATTTCTATGTCTGTGGTCTTCGTCTTCTCTGGTTGGTAGTTCTGTAAGAGTTCTTCAGCTTCCTTTTTGATTGCTGAATCTCTGATATGCGTCGTGTCTACCTCAAAGTCAGTAGAGTAGTTGTTGAGCGTCATCTTCATAAAAAATGTTGTCTTCGCCTTCTTATAAACAACTATTCCGTCGTCGCTAATGCTGATATCCGCATGCTCTAATAGGTTATTTCCAATGATGACCTTAAAACTTGATGTCTCTGTCTCGTGGAATGTCAACGCGAATTCTTCTCCGTGTATCAGGACATTGGTATAGAATGATCCCAAAGTTTCAACTCTATTGTTACCTAATCCTTTAATCACAATTGTCTCCTTCACTAAGGGAATGTTTTGGAAGAAATCTTCATACGTGTCACGTCGCATGGTATTGATGTCACTTCCTGTGTCCAACAATGCCTTCATTCTGATTCTTTTAACCTCCACATTCAGCAAATTCTTTCCAGAGGCACGTTCTATTGTATTAACCGTCGCCATGGTGCCTGAAGGTCTCTCTTCATTGCCAGATTCCCTCATCATACATCTTGTTGCTAGATGTCCAAAGTTTCCACATCTGAAGCACTTTGCTCCTTTATCCTTGTTAGGACAAGCTGCTGATTTGTGTCCCTTGGAACCACAATTGAAACAAACGAGCGCCTTTCGTCTCTCGGGATTTGTCTCAGAATTTCCTTGAGTTCTGGTTCTCCCTTGCTCTCTCTTATTTTCCTCGTGTTTGCTTCTGAACGGCTGTGTGTGCGCGACACCTCCTAATCTAGCTTTGCAGATTTGTTCATACGTCTTCGCTTTCTCTTTAAACTCGGCAAAATTCTTCGCTCCATAAAGAATTACTTTATTTGCTGTCTCGTCTTGGATTCCGTCTATAATGTATTGCATGACCTCAGCTGGATCTATGTATGCTCGACTTCCTATCTCTCTCATTGTTAGGATGTACTCCTGTACTGATTCGTCTCGTCTTTTCTTCCTTGTCATCAGCATTTTGTGGATTTGTCCACTAGACATCTTCGTTTCGAATTCTTCTATTAGTTTCCTTTTGAGAGTTGTCCATCTTTGTATACCTGTCTCAGATTGGATATACACCTTGGCAAGACCTCGCAATGACTTCTTTGCAAAAACTAATTTTTGTAAGTCGTTCCAGCCCATTAATTCAGACATCTCCTCAAAATCGGATATCCATTTCCTCACAGGATATTCTGATTTTCCATCAAAAGGTCTGATACTGTCTTCGACGTCCTTGAATGTCAGTGAGAAGCTAGGATGGATATTTCGGTTTATACTTGCAACACTTCGCACGTCATCATAGCTGTCGTCGTCTTCTGAGCTACATCGTCTTCTATCCTCCTGGCGTCTGATGTTTTCTTCACCATGTCGTCTTTGATCCTGTGGAGCATGATAACGTCTTTCGTCTTTCGGCACGTATCGTCTTCCGTTTGTACTGACATACTGTCTTTCGTCTTCTAAATCTTCGTCTTGGTCTTCTCTTTCTTCATCTTCTCCATCGTCATTTCTTTCTTCGTCTATTGCGTCATCATTTTCAAAATTTATCAAAAATGTGCAAATACGGTCCGCAATCTCATTTTCGGATCCGCAATAATCTAGATCAAGGATATGGCACACAGAAATTAAATCGCCTAAATTGAGCTTGCTTAGAACTTGATTTAATTTCAATAAATATTCCGGCGAATTCTTAGAAAAATCGAAACCTGTAAAACTCCTTAAACCGGCTCTGACTCGTCTCGGTAACCCTTCATTGTCGTACGCCACCAAATGCAATGCTTTCGCCGCTTTCAACTTACACTGAGATATATGCAATTTTGTCAATATCACCCAAAGTTACTTTCTTAGAAGCCATTATTTTATCAAATTTGAATATAAATCACAAATAATTAAGCAAATAGACTAAAAAAAAAGGCAATAGCAAATCGAAAATAGTTAGAATAGCAACAGTAAGTGTGCGGCAAAGTCAAAAAGTAGACACTTGCTAGTAAAGGCAATCAGATCGTTAGAAATGCTGAAAAATACTAAATTTTGAAAAAGAACGTAACTCAAGCGGGGCGGTATATACGCTTTACAGTAAAGAAAATTATTCACAATACTTCAGTATATCGAAAATACAAAACATTAAATCATGTAAATATACAAAATATTTTGTCTTCTGATGTTTCCAGCGTAAACCAGTAAAAAGAAACGATCCTACCTTGGGTTGAGTGCGTTGACCTTTTACCTCTCTTGCAGTTCTGCCTCTTGTATTTGCCTCTGCTCGTCAACAGCATCAATGTCTTTGTCGGCCTCCTCTCGTAGCTACGGTTTGTACTTGCCTCGTGGCGTCGTTGCGGCAAACTCGGCGTCAGCGGCGCGCTTGATGACTCACTGGCTTCGTCTGCTTCTGGGTTTTCGGTTTTGGTCGTTCAGGGTTTTACCTCGTCTTTCTCGACACAGCTTTCTCCACGTCTTTTCGTCTTGCTTTTTATCTGTATCCTTATACGTTTGGTTATCGTATTGTATCCCGGACGAGCCCCCAAAATGTAGGGCTATTTGTTGTTTGTCTAGGGGTTTAGGGGTTGGAAATCACGAGTCCGTGGATACAGATGAATGATGGCCGTCTATTGATTAAATACACGATATTGAATGAGTGTATATAACGCCGTCTACGTCTAAGTTCACGTCTTTTCTGTGTGTCTTTCTTGATCGGCGGCTGAATACAGACTGCCCGTTGTCAGCCGTCAAAACGTGAGGCGCTGGCTTCTCGATTGTTCTAGAAGGCTTTCTAGTTCAGTGGCGTAGGCAGCGCAAAGGCGTCGTCAATCAAGGGTCAAGGGTTACGCATTGACGCAAAATAAAAAAAATAAAAATGATAAAATAACCTTATCCTACATAAGTTACATAACCATTATAATGAATGACCCTGATTTATTTCGTTTGGTTTATTAAACATATTAAACTTACTATCAAAAAATAATTTGATTTAATCTTACCTTAATTTCGTCCTTTAATACTTCGTTTAGAGCACTGCATACTTCTGGTATAATATTCGAAATCAGTTGAGGAGAAATCTTAAATAGGAAATGTAGACTTTGGAAGTCGTCTCCTGTGGCCAAATATCTCAGTGTTATGGCTAAACGTATCCGAGCTGGAATAGCTTTTCGTAATTGAATATCTTGTTTTGAAATCTTGCTTGAAATTTGATTCAGCAAATATTCAAAATCAGCTAAAGACATCCGAGTTAACTTATGGAATTCACCAGATGGTTCTGCCACTAATTCACTCAGCTGCTTTTCAATTGTTATCCTGTAAAAATAAGCATTCGGAATGATTACATTAAAGATAATTAATAATTTATTATAGGTTAGGTTCCTATGAAACTGCTAAATGTATACTTACGTTGTTCTATTACGATGAATACTTGTCATCCACCATCTTCGCTTTCTCCACCGCTTCTTAATTTACGTCGTATTTTTAATATACACGTAGTTATAGTTCGCTAATGCGCACAATGTAAGGGCCGCAGCAGCAGCAACATTTACGTCCATATCGCTCAACGTTGCGAACGATGACTGTGAAAATGCTGCGAACTATTGCGAGTGTGGAGTCCATGGTAAAGTCTTGGCAAATTCGCGCCGCGAAATCGCGCCGTGATTCGCGGGCTAAGTGTAGAGCGCTCTTAACAAAATAAGTTCATCATTAGTCGTTATTTTTAGGAACATAACATTAACTTCTATTCTACAGGCGCATTCAGCTGCCAGCATCGGCTCACCGAGCAACGAATTAGACACACTAACCTCAAACTATTCTGACACCGAAAGCGACACACCGACCCCGAATCGTTCTGACAGCGAGCGAGATACACCAATCTCGAACCCTAGTCGGCCAAGACCAGGAAAGAATAAATTAACTGACGACGTACTTAGGTCTGTAAATGATCATTTTAAACGGCCTAGAATTCCAGAGAATCGCCTCGACGTGTTTGGAAAAAATGTGGGGATGAAACTACAAGAGTTACCAAAAGAACAAAGAATAATAGCTGAAAAAATTATCAATGAAACTCTGTTCTTAGCATAAATTGGTAGCCTAACTATGTCACACACTGTGAGAAACGATGACTTTGCCAACACTACTCAACCCCGGCCACACACTCAACCCCTTTACAGTCCGCCACACATTAAAGCCCAATATCAATTACAAGCTAACAAACACAGCTTTCAAAAACGTTCTCAAGTTGACTATGAATCCTCAAGTGTATCATCAATAGAATCTACACCACAATCACGGCCAGATTTTAATGCACAATCTGTTAATACAATTATTGTTACCCAGCCAGATCTTAATGCACAATCTGATACTACAGCTGCTTGCTTTTTAAGTAGTTTTAATATAATAATATAATAATATATATTGTATAAGTTTAACTAATAAACCATTTGATGATCATATGTAGTATTTTTTTTAAGTCCCATGCTTACCTTCAAGTAGTCTTTCCGCAGAACCTCGTACAAAGCATCACAGGTTTCAGGAACTATTTGGCTGAGAGCTTGAGGTGATATTATTGTAGAAAACTTCATACATTCATAGGAATGACCTGTAGCTAAAAATCGCAGTGTAGCAGATAACCTTTCATGGGGACTTACTGATTTTCTCATCAGTGTCCTGTTTCTTTATTAGTGGAGTAACCAAAGCCAGGAGGTTTAAGTATGCCTCCTCGTTCATCCTTAAATAATTGTGCCAATCTTTGGGAGCGAATTTTAACTCATTTAATAAGTTGGTAAGAGAAAATTGCTTCCTTTTCATGAGCCAGTCTTTGCACCACACACTCCGCGACTTTTTTTCTTTAAAAACATAACCAGGCTCAATAACGCAAGTGCGTCATCATCTTCCATCATGGATGACATGTTTCTTGCGCGAGCTTCTGCGGAGAACTGAAGCTCGACGCAGATATCGGTGGCGTGTGGAGACGCTATGGTATTTCGATTTAACTGCACAGTCTGAAATCGCTACGATATATCGTTACGTATGTAGCGGGCATAATGGGCGCCGTACATGCTACGAAAAATCGTTACGATCGGACTGTACAGTTCGAACGGTACCGATAAATCGTAGCGTGTATGTGGTAAAACTGCACAGTTTCGTACGATTTTTCAAGACTGTGCAGTCGAACGGACCAATATGAAATTTCAATTAGATCAAACGGAATCGGTTGAACTGTACCGAGCGATCTTGTTTTGACTCTGGCGCGAAGACGGTACAGTTGCAGCGGTAACTGAGCTAGGAGAGCATAGATATCCGTGAACTGCGCAGACAAGTCGGTGCATGTAGACGGTAGCACCGTTTTCCGATTCATTTTGTTCCTCAGTTTTAATTCGTCAAGCGACAATGGCTGACCTTCGGCAATGTTCCCGTGAGTTTCTCAAAGAATTCATCCAATTATATGAAAGTTTCCCATGCATTTGGCGTGTGAAATGCAAGGAGTACAGTGACAGAGATAAAAAGGGAGAGGCTTATGAGGCTTTGGTGGAGAAATTCAAATAAATCGATGCAACTGCAGACCGAGAAACCGTTGTGAAAAAAAGTAATTCTTTGAGAAGCGTGTACCGCAAAGAATTAGCAAAAGTTAATAAATCGATTCGATCTGGGGCTGGAGAAGATGAAATCTACAAGCCATCTCTCTGGTATTATGATTTGTTGCATTTTCTCAATGATCAGGAGACACCAAGACAGTCTAGGAATACCATAGATGAAAATGAAGAGTCCGCAGTTGACGAAACGCCAGAACAGGTAAGAAAAAAATTCTTCATGTCATCACTTTATTAAATAATTTTAATACATCATAAACTGATTATAAAGTAATAAATCTATCTTGCGCAAAAAGTTGAGTAAAGCGCAACACGCAAGAACTATAGTGTCGACGTTATTCATCTTCAAATTAATACTTGTGTGAAAAATACGAAATCGCGAAGCAAAAATTCCGAACGTGTTTTCAACAACACGCCTCGCCCTAGATAGGCGGTAATTGAAAATTCTTCGCTCCCTTGTTACTGTTTCTCGTCGATACGGTTTCAGAAGTTCTCAACGCATAGCAAAAGCTTCATCACCAACAAAAACGTATCCTAAAACTCTGTTTGTACTTCCAGTGCCCCGGGGTTTTAGAATTCTCAACTCATTCTTAATTAGCTTGTCATAAAATTTAATGTTATTTATGACCCCTCCATCTGAGATTCTTCCGTTTGTGCCTATATCACAATACAAAAATTCGCAATTGGCATTGGCTATTGCCATAAGAACAACACTGTGGGATTTTTTTATAATTGAAATAATAGGACCCACTTCCTTTAGGTGGCAGAATTCTAATATGTTTTCCGTCGATTGCCCCTAAACAATGAGGGAACTGCCACATTTGTTCAAACTCAGCTGCAACTTCCAGCCACTCATTTTCAGTCTTGGGAAACTGAAACAAAAACAAAACAAAATTGAAACAAAATAAAATCAATAAATTGCAACAACCAAAAAATAACCAAAATTGTTTAATATTTCAGATGGACGAAGATGAGCATGAGAGTGCTGCTAACAGTGAACATAGTCAAGCGCCTGCTACTCCTCTTTCCGGAGCATCAACTCCCTGTTCTAGCAATGTACTGTCACGTAATACTTCAACATTGCATTCTTCAGCTCGTAAGAGAACGGGAGTTCCGAAATATGATGGCACAAATGACGTTATGAAGCTGGTAGAAAAGAAACTCGAGTCGCTACAGCCAGAGGATGCTTGTCAGGTGTTTGGAAAACATGTGGCTAATAAACTCAGAGACGTCCCTAGTTCACAAAACGCAATTGCTAAGAAACTAATTTCCGACGTTTTATTCGAAGCGGAGATGGGTACGCTTACCAGAAATTTTCAACTTGTTGATATAACTAGCCAGCGGCAAGATGATTTTGGTTTAGTAAACGAACGGAGTTGGCATCAGCAGAGTATGCCCCAACAATGGAGCATGCCACGTGCTCGTTCTTCGCAAGTTACACAATACCGATCCTTCTCGCAGCAGTCGCAGCCTATGACGCATAAATCTTTTCTAGACAATAGAATTATGACTTACCTTCAAATATTCATTTTTCAGCACCTTGAAGATAGCTTTACATGTTTCGGGAATGATTTCGCTCAACGATTGCTTCGAAATAATTGTGAATTCTAGGTCTTTATAACTTCTGCCAGTTGCCAAAACTCTTAAAGTTGCTGTTAGTCTTTCATGTGGTGATATTGCTGTTTTCATACAAGTATTTTCTTTGATGATATGCGGTGTCACTAATTGCAATAAATAAGTATACGTATCTATGTCCATTCTCAAGTAGTTCCGCCAATCATTAGGTTCATCACGTAATTCGCGCAGTAATCCGATATGAGAAAATTGCTGCCTTTTAAGAAGCCACTTTCGCGACCACTTTGAACGCCTGGTACTTCCGAGGCGTTTAAATCTTCTTTTTTTAACGAGACACATTGCCCAAACTGACCAGAGTAGTACCTCCTCCCCGACAATATCAACTGAGCGAAATATACAGATATATCTGCACCGTGTGGACGGTCTGAAAATTGCAGCGTTTTCATTCCGTCTCGAGACTGCGCAGACAAAACGTTGTGCAAAATGGAGCGTCTGGACCGGTCTTAATGGTTCATGTACATTATCAATAATATAGCGACATTTATTGCGAGAATGGATGTCTACTCCTGTGTAAACATGACTGAGACCAAAGTTGCCAGACCACTTTTGTTTCCGACTGGTGATCTCGGCAAGTAAAAACGTTGTTAATGTAAACATCTTGCAGTGCGTTCTCAGAGAGATAGATTTTATTCCAAATGTGTTGGAAATTTTTCGCGAGAGCTGTGTATATTGCATTTCAAAAATGGCACAGAAAAAGACCTGGTCAAAGGACGAGACATTTTCTTTAATTACGGAATGGGAGTTGTAGCCAGAATTATGAGATGTTAAAAGTATAAATTATAGGAATAGGATTACACAACAAAATGCGTTGAAGCAATTAGCTGGAAAATTTGAAACAGCCGAAAGTGAAATTTCTAGGAAATTGTACAATCTGAGAACTCAGTTTCATCAAGAAATAAGAAGACTGAAAACAAAGAAAAGCGGTGATGGAGCTGACAATGCGTATGAGATTACTTGGGAGTTTTTTAATTAATTGAAGTTTATTAATTGTGATCATTCGGAGTCAAAAACTGTTGACAATTTGGTATTATTTTTTTTTATTTATTTAAAAAATAATAGGTTAGTTATTAACAACGTTTAAGTATTCTTATATATTAGGTACAGTATGTTTAAATGAAATCTAGTTTTCTAAATATGCGTATATTGCCAATGTACTTCTCCCTCTGGTGAAACAAAATAATCCCTTAATTCATCCCTGACATCTTTGGAATTTACACCAAAATTATGTGCTGCTCCATAGTCTAACCCTAATAAGTTTGATTGTGGCATTCCAACCCTGCGCCATGCGGTCTCCTGTTCATCCGTATCGAAGGTACCTCCTGGTGCATAAAATTTACTTTTTCGACTCATTAGAAATTTGTGTAGGACACATATTGCTGATACAACACAAGTACTTTTTTCTGGTCCAACTTCTATAGGCTTTCGTAGAATACGAAAGCGGTTAGCAAAAAGTCCGAATACCTTTTCTATTACTCTTCTCGACCCTGAAAGTCTGTAACTAAGCACCCGGTTAGGTGCTGGTTGTCCTCTGAATGGGTATGGTTTTAATAGATAGGGTTTCATAGCGAATGCATCATCTGCTACTATTACATAGGGTACAGGATTCTCGCGTCCCGGTAAAGGTTTTGCAGGCGAAAAGTTATGCGTATTATTTGCTAAGGCAACTGATAAAGTACAGTTATTGAAAACTCCCCCATCTGATTGACGTCTACCTCCTATATTTACATTTTGCGATACCGTTATGCCATCCTCGTGCACTGTACATTTTCTATCGAAAACGTTGCTTGCTTCCTCGCACTTCAGCTGCACGGTAATGTTCTGATATCATCGACCAACACGGGGCTTCGTGAAATCATCTGCATGATTTGGCGATGTCGTATCCCCATCGCTGTAGGTCGCTTGGGGGTTCGCGCCCTCGATCGCATCGCGTGTAAAACGCGTGCTTGCAACCGCGGCACGTCTCATCGCGTCAGCATCCTCGCCAGGGTGGCCGACCTGGAGATTCAGATTTGAATCTTGGTTGTCGATTCCGGTATCGGCGACACGACCAAGTAAGTTGTGAGACTCTTGTCGGTTGGAGTAGACGGCAAGACAGTCAAGGAAGGCTCCCAAATTAACACCGAGAGCTGGTGCCGTGCTGAACTGCTGTACCACCGGCGCGGAATTAACGGCAGGTGGAGAAGTCACATGAAGATCGATAGCATCACTGCACCTACCTGGACCCTGGACCTGTGTGGCCGGACACAGTGGTGCTGGAGGAGTCAAGTCTCCTATGGCTGCCCGTCCAGTGGACGCGTTTTCGCGCGAAGAGGCGAAGGGCGAAATGGCGCGAATTCGCGCCTTGTTTCAAACGTGTCGATTTACATGGGAACCCGTCCACTGGAAGCGCCACTTTCGCGAGAAGTGGGGCGAAGGCGAACGCGAACAAACCAGTTTGATTTTGACGCGCGAAGAGGCGAAGTGGGCAACGATGGACGTTGAAAAATTGATAGTTTTGGTGCAGGATAGACCATCCCTGTGGAACCAGAAGATGCCGCAATACCACATGCGGAATGTGCATATCAAGTTGTGGGAGGAGATCGCAGTGGAAATGAAGATGCCAGGTATACTTTATCTGAAGTCACTTGAAATAGCATAAAAACCTTTGGTGGCGCGTCCGTTGTAATTTCATGACGTATCATAGGCGTGCGGTCATTATTTATTTAGAATGATAACAATAATGATTTTATATCACAATAAATGGATTTTACTATCTTCTTATTTAAATAAAACGCACCCGATATTCCACGGTGTTTCAAGTGACTTCAAGTGAAGTATAATAATAATCAAAGTCCTATTAATTTTCAACTTAATTTTGTTTTTTCGACTTTTTTATTATTTTAAAAGGCTATTGAGTACAAACGTATAATATGAGTTCTTTCTCGTTACACATTAGGTCACAAAATTTTTTGGTACCTACCTACCTAATTAGTCGTTTCTATATCACCTTGCCGGGAGAAGAACATTTTGAATGTTTCCCTTACTTGCATTGAGGAATGTGAGCCACGGTTGGTTGCCCTTCCAGGAAACGACGAATGAGAGGTGTTCCAGTGAAGTGACAGAGGAGAGGTTCCCGGAATCATATCCCTGGGACCTTCTTTATTGATGACAATGTTGTGCAGTAGGCAAATACATTTCACAATGTGTTCAGCTCTCTCGGGCTTGACTTCAATAGCCTTGAGTAGAATACGCCATTTATGAGAAATTATACCGAAAGCACACTCGGCAACTTGCCTTGCACCGGACAAACGTTTATTATAGTTCTCTTGCTCAGTGGTTAAACCTCTCAGTGGGTAAGGACGCAGTAAATACGTCTTCAATGGAAATCCTCCATCCCCGATAACTACATGTGGTGCTTCTATGTCAGTACCAGGTAGTATCTTCAAAGTGTTCGTTTTAAGAGCACCTCTTTCTAGGGCTCGAGCCAATTGTGAGTGCCTAAAAACTCCGCTGTCACTTTGTTTACTTTGTTTTCCGTAAGCTCCGACATCAATGCAGATGAATTTATAATTCGCATCGACCACTCCTTGCAATATAATTGAAAAGAACTTTTTGTGATTGTAATACATACTTCCTGAATGAGCTGGACTGTTAATTCGAATGTGTTTCCCGTCTATGCAACCAACGCAGTTGGGAAATTTCCACTTTTCCCAAAACTCAGAGACGATGTTGTCAACTTGATTGTCAGATGGAAAGGGCATGTGTTCATCATGCAAGCTATCCCAAATCACTTGACAAGTTTCATGTACGATGCGTCCGATGGTCACTTCGGAGATCCGAAACGAATAGCTTAATGAGATGAAAGACGAACCGGTAGCTAGGTACCTGTAAAAAGAAACATAAAAAATACACCACAATATTTTAACGTTTTATTTTTTTGCGATATTTTCTTTTGTAGTAAATGATGTCAAGAAGAAGTGGAAAGGGCTGAGAGATACGTTCAGGAAGGAGTTGAAACAGGTTTTGGAAGAAAAATCAGGGAAAGCCGCCGACTTGTCGAAACTTTGGCCTTATTTCACGCAAATGGAATTCTTATCCGACACCATGATGCCAAAGGATACACAAACAAGCATCTCAGAGTCACAGGAAGAGTTTGACGGTATCTCTTTATCTGAGAGTTCTGTAAATGAACCTGATGAAAACAATGACCAACTATCACAAGATGAAACAATTGAAGTAATTGAACCCACGAAAAGAACTGAATTCCAAAGCCCATTGAAACGCAACCGAAAAAAACAAAAGAGAGATGAAATGGATGACAAATTTTTGGATATTGAGAGGCAAAAGTTTTCATTATTTTCAAAGGCTGCTGACGAAATGAGAGATGATGACTATCAATATTTGTGGAGCAGACTTTCAAATCGCACTTTGTCCAAATTTTCACATTTTGCCTTATAGATGGCGTTGCATTCTTTAAAACATCATTTATCAATTCACGTACTCCTAGACATTCTAATCGCAATATTTCACGTATATTTCTGGCTTGAAAAACGCCCTAGACAAACAAAAAGCATTTTGTCCATTAGCGAGAGACAAACAAACAGCAAAATGCGATTCGGTTGTCTTGTAATGCTTTCTTACCATGTAACCACTTTATTATTTACTTTTAAGCAGTGTAGCAATCAACAGTGTTGTTGTGATATTAGTAGTGCGTAAAAAGTAGTGTTTATTAGAGCAATTTAACAAAAAATGATTGAAGGTGAGCATATAGTGGGAGATACAAATAGAGGAACGAGAAAAAGAAAAATAAATACTACCTCAAAAGAACGTAAGAGAGAAATAAGGTACATTGAGATATTGTAGGTTATGTTGTATTTTTGTTGCTTAATTTTTTCGTTTCAGATATTCAAATTTAGACCCAGATTTACTGAATTTTAAAAATAACTGCGACCATAGATCAAAAAAATTTGAATGTATGGAACTTTTGTTGGCCGACATAAAAATCATTAGACAGAACTTCTACAATGACGAAAAAAATAACAAAAATGCGCAGGATAACAAATTAGCTCAGATGATGAATGTAAAGGAAATAAAAAGGCAAAGGAAGAGAAAGAATGGAAAATCACACGAATTTCACACAGAATTTTATGTAAGTGTTTTCAACAAACTAAGCTTCAGTACCTATTCAATTCCCGCTTACAGAATACTTAGTAATGTCTTTTTTAGGTTTGGCATAATAGGAAAAAAGTCTTTGTTTGACAAAAATTATTTTCATCCATTTTTAATTGCGGCCCAAGAAGAATTCATACAATAGTAAGAAAAAAGATGCAAGGCATTGGTATAAAAGACAATCGTGGTGGGGACAGGAAGTCCAAGAAAAATGCACTCAAACTAGAAAGTGTCATGAAGTTTGTATCGTCTTTGAGGGGTCATGAAAGCCACTATGGTAGAGGCAAGTCTAGAAGAATCTATTTGTCATCTGAATTAAACATAAAAAAAACTCTGGAAGATGTATACTCATCAAGTTCAAGATGATTCACTCCAAACAAACTACAAGTACTTTAGCAGAATTTTTAGCAATAAGTTTAATATAGGTGGGTAGTATTTATTTTTTTTCATTTTTTTCATTTTACAAACATGCTCATTTGTTTTAGCCTTTGGAAGCCCAGCAACTGATGTTTGCGGCTTTTGCATAAGAACAAACACAGAGATAAACACCACCAAAGATGAACAACAAAGGTTAAAATTAAAAATGGATTTATCCATTCACAAGACGCGAGCAAAGCAGTTTTTTAAATTAATGAAGGAGGAATCTCCTGACAGTGTGGAATATTGTTTTGATCTGCAGCAGGTCCAGGTTCTTCCAAAAGCACCGATTACGGAAGCATTCTATGCTCAGCAACTGGCCTTTTATGTATTTTGCGTGACAGATATTTCCATAAAAACTCCTGTTTTTTATACGTGGCTTGAGCATGAAGCGGGAAGAGGTGTGGTAGAAATAAGTTCCGCGCTGGCTGATTTTCTAAGAAAGACGGATTTTGACCCAAATACTAAACATCTAAGATTGTTCTCAGATGGATGTGGGGGTCAGAATAAAAACTCTCACATGGTACATGCACTCATGTTGTGGCTTTTGAACAATGCCCCAAAAACTATTGAAACAATTACGATGACTTTCCCCGTTCGTGGCCACTCGTTTATGCCAGCTGATCGAGTTTTCGGTCAAGTTGAGCTAGACTTACGTTCCCACGCTTTTATTAAGTCCCCAGACAAATATTATGAAATCTATTCTAAAAAAGGACAAGTCCGCAAGCTTGGCTCTGATTGGACTTTGTATGACATAAAACATGCAGCACTTTCACTCAAAAAAGTTATAGGCATCAGTGAAGCTAAAAGAATAATCATAACTCGAGGCAAACAACCTGCTGGGGCAAATAAAATATTGTATAAAATAGAATTTTTGTACAGGAATGATGACCCTTCTAAAAAGTTTTCAAGTTTACTCAAGCCAAAGAAGAAACTTAGTAATATAGTACTGCCGGAATTGCCAATGAAGCATGCTGTAAAGAAGAAGAAACTGGATAGCTTATCAAAATTTTTAGTTAGTTTATCGGGCAAGGAATGGGCGACAGATCCAGAACTAGCTTGGTTAGACCCAATTTTGAAAGATCAGTATGGTGAAAATGTAATTGACGAGGAAGCTCAGACCTGCGATCAATGTGAAGAAGGAGAAGAATGTTGCTGCCTTCTAGAGGATGACATAAATGTCATATGATTTTTTAATTATTTAATTATTAAGTGTTTTTGAATACGCAGAAATGCATTTTCAGTTTATATTCTTAATTTAGTCATTTAGAGACAATCAAACTACGTTTTGTCATTTAAAGACAAACAAATAGCGTTTTGTCCCTCAGAAATTATTTTTTTTTCAAAAACTAATAAGGTCTGTTGTTAACTTATAAGTAGGGTAAAATAATAAAAAAAAGTACATTTCTTCATATCTTGTGTTTTTTTTATATTTTATTAATAACAGTGTAGCAGTTTTTCTTATTTCCTGAAAAATGTCCGAAATGGACAAAGTGCGATTTGAAAGTCTGCTCCTCATTTAATGAGTCTCCTGCCATATCTGCGAAAAGTTCCGCATGCACATAAACTACAAGCCCGAGTGGAGATGATGAATGTGCTCGTGAAATACACCACTCCTCAGTGTTCACCCCTATCATCACAGCATATGACTTCGTCCCTGGCCTCGCCGCCTTCTTCTCTGCACAGCGAATCTTCTTCAAACCTTCAAGAATTTTACAGTACTTTCAATCCTGCCGGAGCGCATCCACCAACTTTTCATCAATTTCAGTAGCAAGGGTCAAATGAATAGCGTTTTTTAATGAAATAAAAAATATGTTGAGTACCTACTTCATTTCCTTAAAAAAACTACCTACAAAATAATATATACCTACTTCCATTGAAATAACACCTTTAGACAGTTTGTTTAGTCATCGTACGTTCGTGCCGCCCGCCGATTGGTAAAATATGAGTTGGGACACGGAAAAAACAATACCTTTCATTAAAGAGTATGAAAAGCGCCCGATATTGTGGAAAAAGAACGATAAACATTATTATAATATAATCAGAAAAGAAGATGCATGGAGAGTGTTATGTGCGGCAAGGACACATCCGTTCCAGTCTGGTGGTAGGTTTATTTGAGTTTACAAAAGTGGACTGTATTTGATTTGGTAAATGAGTGACAATACAAATTTCTTGAACCTGTTGATGCGTTCTTTCTCGACACCTCCTATCTTGGTCGCGGCGCTTCGATCTCTCTGGTGTCTCCGTCCCCATTGGCTGGATTCAAAAACTGCCAGGCAGCGCTTGCGGAGTGGTCGTGGCTGGTACACAGTGGCGCGCGCGCCAAATGACCATTGGCGTAACATAGGCCGCCCCCTTGAAAGCCTCCAGGCTTTCAACACGATGAGATGCTGTCGTCGTCTGGAAGTGGAAGAGCACAAAGCTTGACTACTGGCCTTTTGTACTCTCCAGTTGAAGTTCTTAAAGTAACAGTTCGAGTGATGTGGTCTGGTCCGGGATGGAGTTCAGTTATTCTGCCGATTCTCCATTTCAATGGAGGGAGTCCGTCTTCTTTAACTAGCACCAGAGTGCCGATCTTGAGTCTTTGAATGAAGTTCTCCTTCCACTTGGTGCGATGCTGCAGATGTGAGACATATTCTTTGGACCACCTGGCCCAGAAGTGCTGCGTCATTTTCTGCAGTCGTTCGAAACGAGATAATTGGTTTCCAGGAACGGTTAACCAATCTTTGTCTGGTGTAGCCATTAATGATTCGCCGATGATGAAGTGTGCGGGTGTGAGAGGAGAAGGGTCTGAGGGGTCGTCTGATAAAGGGTAAAGAGGTCGAGAGTTCACACATGCTTCAATTTGAGTCAATACCGTATAGAACTCTTCAAAAGTTAATAGCGTTTCACCGACAGATCGTTTTAAATGGTGCTTTACCGTTTTGACTGCGGCTTCCCATAGCCCCCCAAAGTGAGGTGATCTAGGTGGTATGAATGTCCATTTAATACCATCAATGGCTAATTTTTTCGAAATGGCATCAGTCCGCTGTAAAATGAATTGTTTTAGTTCTTTACTAGCACCCACGAACGTTGTTCCATTGTCTGAGATTACGTGAGAGCAAAAACCTCTGCGAGAAGTAAATCTTCTGAAAGCAGCGAGGAAACATTCAGTTGTGAGGTCACTAACGATTTCAATGTGAATTGCCTTAACTGCGAGACAAACAAATAAAGCAATGTAAGCCTTGGATAACTTGGAGTTACGCGTCTTGCTGAGCTTAATAGTGAATGGACCGGCAAAGTCGATTCCTACAGATAGGAATGGTCGCCCAGGAGTGACTCGAGATTTCGGCAAACTTCCCATCAAGTATCTTTCTTGATTAAGGCTAAAGCGAAAACAAGAGATACATTCCCGAATAATTTTTCGCACAAGCCTTTTGCCGCCGATAGGCCAAAATTTTTCTCTGATAGATGCTAGAAGACCTTGACATCCGATGTGTTTTAAACGTTGATGTTCATGTCGAGCGATAATCACGGAGAAATGATTATTTTGGGGTAGGACGTATGGATGTTTTTTATCATAAGGATAATCAGATATTTGCAGACGACCGCCAACACGAATAAGTCCATGCGAGTCAACAAAGGGAGATAAACTAAGAAGACTGCTTTTAGAGCAAACTCTTCCGTCCTGGGTTAGCTGTTGAAGATCGATAGGAAAAGAAGATCTTTGAACTATCCTTATAAGGTATGTTAGAGCATTATCGAGTTCAATAGGTGTCAAGGGGCCAGTTAGCTGATGCTCCTTTGACAGAGTCTTGAGTTTGAACCTGCTGATATAGCCAAACACCCGAAGCAACTTAGAGAACGAAGAGAACTTGATAATTACAGAAGAGAGATGATTTTCTGTTGTCGAGAATAATGAAGTGATCTTTTCCTTGCGTTCAAGGAGATCAAAGCTATCGTTTATTGGGCTATCTTTAAAATGGGGCCAATTCGACTGTTCCCGTGACAGCCAAATAGGACCATGAAACCAAAGATTGGAGGTTAGAAAATCTGACGGAGATATTCCGCGCGACAACAAATCTGCTGGGTTATCACTTGTATGGATATAGTTCCAGGAAACAGGATCAGATAAAGCTTGAATTTGAGAAACTCTGTTCGCAACAAACATTTTAAGAAGATGAGGTGATAATTTCAACCAGCATAATACAATTTTCGAGTCACACCAGTAACAGATTTGATCGAAATTCAGCTTCATGGATTCTTTGACAGTTGATACGAGTTTGACAAGGAGAAGAGCTGCGCACAGCTCGAGCCTGGGAATAGTAACCTGCTTAAGTGGAGCTACCCTAGTTTTTGCACAGAGAATCTTGGTATGACAATTTCCTTGAAAGTCTACGGATCGAATATACACAACTGCTCCGTATGCCTTTTCAGAAGCATCTGAAAATCCATGAAGTTCGATAGAAATTGGATTGTGACATATCACGTGTCTAGGAAATTGAACAGTGTTCAATTCAGAGAGCTTTGATCTATAATCAAGCCACGTTGTATAAAGCTGAGAGGGAATGCTTTCATCCCATGAAACTTTGAGTTTCCACAAGTCTTGCATTATTAGCTTGGAGGTGATAGTGACAGGAGATAGGAGACCTAATGGGTCGAAGATTTGCGCTATACATGATAAGATGTGACGCTTTGTGATTTTTTGAGAGGCACTAGTCTCAGCTATACAATAAGTGAGAAGGTCCAGCGTCGCATTCCAAAATATGCCCAAAGTTTTGTTTTGCTGATCTGCGCCGATTTGTATAGTCTCAGAATTTGCGAGAATATCTTTGTGGTTTGAGGACCATTTTCTCAAAGGGAAACCATGTTGGTTGAGTAAATCTGTAAGCTCTGCCTTCAAGGTCAAAGCCTGATCCACCGTCTCTGTGCCCGTGAGAAGGTCATCTACGTAGAAGTCTTCAATAATTACACGACAAGTTGAAGGATAAGCTGTCTTATGAATCCGAGCTACTTCATGTAGCGAACGAATCGCAAGAAATGCCGCCGAGGCTGTTCCGTACGTGACAGTGTTAAGTTCAAATGCTTGCAAGTCTTTATTCCGATCGAACCGCCATAAAATCTTTTGCAGATGGCGCTGATCTTCTCGAACCAGTACCTGCCGATACATTTTGGCCATGTCGGCACCAAGAACAATATTGTGCTTCCGAAAACGAAGTAGGATCGAGAAAAGATCATTTTGGATAGTAGGGCCGATCATCATAATGTCGTTGACCGAATATCCCGAGGTGGACTTGGCGGACCCGTCAAAAACTACCCTTAGTTTAGTCGTAGTACTATCATTTTTCATGACACAATGATGCGGCATGAAAAACCCAGTGTTGTCTTGATTTCGGCACAATGACATGTGCCCGAGATCGATATATTCGCGGATGAATGCGTGATATTGATACTTCAAAGTAAGATTTCGTTCGAGTTTCTGTTCAAGATTAACAAATCGTTTTTCTGCTAGAGATTTAGATTCGCCGAGGCTTGACTCGGGAAGTTTCAAGGGGATGGCAACTACAAAATGGCCGTCGATGTCTTGAACTGTTTCTTTGAAGTTTTGTTCGCACATTTCTTCGTCTTCAGAAAGAAATTTTTTGCTAGGAATCTCCTCTATTTCCCAAAACCTTGTTAGGGTTTTGTCTAAATTGTCTACGCTGAGGTTACAAACGACACGAGGTTGGCATGGTGAGGCTGGTAGAGGGCCTGATATTATCCAGCCTAATTTTGTCTTTTGAAGGATTGTCTGATCGCGTCCGAGCTTGATCTGCCCAATGGATATAAGATCCCAAAATAAGTCTGCTCCTATAAGGAGATCGATATGGCTAGCTTTAAAAAAGTTAGGGTCTGCAAGAGTAATATTATGCGGTAAGCTTAGAGAGCTTTTGTCAAAACCAACATCTGGAACGTTTCCAGTGATAGAAGGTAGAATCAAACACGATAAAGTAATGTGAAAACCGCTAAATTTGGATCGGATTTTGACAAATGTTCTGTGTGAGACCTTGGTATCTGATTGACCAATTCCAGATATATCAAGGTTAATTTTGGATTTTTGCAACTGTAAGATCTCGCATAAATTTTGAGATATGAAATGATTAGTAGATCCACTGTCTAGTAAGACTCTACATTCATGTGTGTTACCAAATGCATCTGAAGCATCAACAATAGCCGTAGATAGTAAGATCTGAGACGATTTGTTTGCATAAGAGTGATTGGAAGATAAAGAAACAATGTTATTATTTCTCGCTAGATTTCTGGCTGGCCGGTTCACATCGGCAACGTCGCGTTCGAAGGCAATGCGTTCTCCGCGCTGGCTCGCGGCACCGCGCTCAGCTGTGGCTGTGGATGGCGTGGGCGCATCAGCGGCAACGGCGGCTGCGTTATGACGCCCATTGTACTGACGCCGAACGGCAGGCGGCGAAGGAGGCGCGTCGTGTCGTCGAGCTTCAGGTTTCCTAGGAAAGTGCAGTAAAGTATGATGAGGCTTGCTGCAATATTTACAGAACATGGACTTGCAATTATTCACGTTGTGTCCGAATCTCAGACAGTTGATACAAAGATTGAGGCGCCTTGTTTCATTAAAACGCTCTGTGGGGGCTAAGCGAATAAACTCTTGGCAAATATAGATTGAATGATCCCTTTTACAAAACGCGCATGACGTATTTTTGTTGTGTGTAGCTACAAATGCCTTGGGCTTGACGTGCTTATTGAACGATTGATTTTGTCTCGCTTTATCATGGTACATTTCGAAAGATTCCAGATTTCGACACTTGTTTTTTAGAAATTCTGAAAATTCCGTCATGGTAGGAAGTTCTTGCGTTTTGCTCCGCATTTCCCATTCGCGGCGAGTAGCGTTATCTAGCTTGGAGGAAATGAGGTATATGAGTATCGAGTCCCAGTGCGAGACAGGTAGTTTCAAAACCTCCAAAGCTCGCAAGTGTTTCTGTAGGCTGTCTACTAAGTCCCGTAGGCTAGCATAGCCTTCTCGTTGGATGTTAGGTATGTCAAAAAGTGCTTTTATATGATTGTTGACTAAAAGTTGCTTATTTTCGAAGCGTTCCTCCAGTAAGTCCCAAGCTACATTATAATTTTGATTTGAGATTTCGAGAGACTTGATTGTGTCTGAGGCGCTACCTTTTAGTGACAATCTCAGATAATGAAACTTTTGTATGGGGCTTAGGGCATCATTGTTATGGATTAAAGAGCGAAAGGTATCTCGGAAAAATAGCCACTGATCGTATGATCCATCAAAATGTGGGATATTCAAGGCCGGAAGCTTGATAGCCTGCAAATCTGGCTGTACAAATTGTGGAGGGGAATGTAAAGCCGCATTGTTTCCTAGCGATGGGCGATGATCGTTCAAAAATTGCTTGGTTTTTGATATAATTTCATAAAAGGCATTTTCAAATTCAGCACGCGCTACTGAATGAACTGATTCAAAATTTTCCTCAAAATTTCCATCTGAATCTTCGATTTTTTCTTGAATTTTGTTAAAATTGTCTAACAGCAATTCGACAGAAGCTAGTCTACATTCCAGTTCTGTGATATCTGGATTAGATTTTTGACTGATGGTATCGAAATAATTATGAAATCGAGTAAGAGTACCCTTTATGGATGCAAGTTTTTTAGCATTACCATTAGGCATTATGCGTGAGTGAGCGAGAACGAGAATGAGGGTAAATTCAGGTAGGTAACCAAGCCGTAACGACACAATTTAACGTTAGCGACAAATGCGAAAATTTGAGTGTTCCAGAAATAACGAAACAATATGAAATACGAGAATTTTTAAGCGACAATGTGTGAGCTCAAGGAAAAACGACAGGAATTTGAGATATGGAACGCACCAACCTTTTGTGTGAGTGTGACGATCTTCGATGGCGATTCCCAATGATGGCGGCTTGTTGTAGGTCCCGTGGTCGCTGTGCTTCAGGCCGGCCAGGGCGATTTCAGGAGTTTCTGACTTCGATCCGGCTCGTAGGATCAAATGTTATGTGCGGCAAGGACACATCCGTTCCAGTCTGGTGGTAGGTTTATTTGAGTTTACAAAGGTGGACTGTATTTGATTTGGTAAATGAGTGACAATACAAATTTCTTGAACCTGTTGATGCGTTCTTTCTCGACACCTCCTATCTTGGTCGCGGCGCTTCGATCTCTCTGGTGTCTCCGTCCCCATTGGCTGGATTCAAAAACTGCCAGGCAGCGCTTGCGGAGTGGTCGTGGCTGGTACACAGTGGCGCGCGCGCCAAATGACCATTGGCGTAACAGAGAGAGATAGGTGAAATATGTAATGAATCCGTGGACGTCTTAAAAAAGAAAATTGATAGTCTTCGAGGTTCAAGAAGGAGGGAAAAAAATAGAATTGCTAAAAGCATGGGAACTGGTAAAGCACCAATGTTTATAATATTTTTTCAATAGTAATAATTCTGATGAAACCAAAAGTATAATATTTTTTTTTAATTTCAGGAAGAAACGAAATTTATGAGTCCAAATGGTTTGCATGGGATAGCCTAAAATTTCTAGATGACCCAGAAGAGCTACAAGAAACATTGTCCGTACGTATTAATAATTTGATATTTTTGATTTTTTTTTTAAGTGAGTCTGTTTTTTGTGTTTTTTTTTTGTTTGTTTAACTACATATACAGGGTCCCAGAAAAGATGGTCAAGCCGTCCACTGGACATTTTTGGAGACAAGATAAGATGCAAAGATTACACATAAACTCTGTGGCACAGTTTCTGTTTTAAATAGGAGATAATACATACATAAAACAATTATATACTAGTTGCATAAACGAATTTATTGGAAAAAAAATTTTACAATATTTTAGGCGTAATCATTTTGCCAAGGAACAGAACCATGTGAGCAGAAATAATCAGTAAACTCTGCTCGTATATTTTGTGCGGAAATACTTGATTTACGTGGAACATTTTCCAATGGAGCTAAAGAAGATTTGTCACCGTTGCCTTCTCGCCACGAGCCAGGAATGATTTTTCCATTTTTTTCTTTGTCAAAAGTTCCATCCGGTGTATAGATATTTCTTGACGAATGGCTTTTACGCAAGAAATTGTGTAAACAAATGGTTGCCATGACTACTACTTTTGCCGTCTCTGGCTCCAGCAACATTGGCTTTCTCAAGACTCGAAAAACAGCAGAAATAATTCCAAAAGCATTTTCAACTATTCGACGAGCCCTACTCAGTCGATAATTGAAAATCCGTTCTTTAGAACCTTTGCGATGACGACCGGAGTATGGTTTCATTATATTTTCTGTTAGTGCAAACGCCTCGTCGGCAACAAATACGTACGGCATTTCTTTGTTCCTGCCAGGTAGAGGTGAGCACCCTGGAAATTTAAAAATGTTTTTTTCCATATCTTTGTACAACTGGCAGTTTTTGAATACACCTCCGTCAGAAACACCACCCTGGCAACCAACGTCCACAAAAATAAAATTGTAGTCACCATCAACAAGAGCCATTAATACAATACTAAAATTTGATTTGTAATTATAATAAATGCTACCGCTATTGATAGGACATTGCAGCGGTATATGTTTGCCATCAAGGGCTCCTAAGCAATGTGGAAAATTCCACGTTTCGTTGAACTTTTCTGCTATTTTTAACCATTCATCTGTTGTAGAAGGTACCTAAAAAATAAAAAAATATATTTTTTCAGAATCATCCTGCTTCATCCGACATCATAGAAGTTGATGAAGAAACTACTGACAATACAGACCGAATTGTTGAGGACCAAAATCCTATTTCTTCGCAAAAAAAATTTTTGTCACCACATAAAAATGCTCCGAAAAGAAAAAAAAACGAGGACCCTCGTATACAAGAGGCCTACGATATTTTAAAAAGCAGAACAGCCACTCAGAGTAAAGATGAATGCTCAATGTTTGCTGACTTTATCGCACAAAAAATGCGAAAGTTTAGCCCTCATACGAGAGCTGTTTTGCAACATCAAATACATAATCTTATTTTCCAAGCTGAACTGGACTCTTTACCAATTTCCCCTCAGGTGTTATCACCATCCCAACAAACATTTCAACCTTCAACATCTATTTGTCAAAACTTTCGTACTTATAATTCACTACCGTCTCCTTCTTCGTCAATATCATCAGTAGGACCTCCATCTTGTACTCCATCACCACTTCAATGTCCTCAAAGTAATATACAACAATATAATGAACATGCACCACAACAATCATCCAGTGAGCACTCGAGCACCCATAGCCAGGAAGTGCCACCCGACCACCAGGAGATTACGTCCGAGAATTCACTCATCTTTCAAGTCAATTCAAGCCAACAAACTGCTAACCAGCTAACTACAGCTACCTACTTCTCGAAATATGATGAAATATGATACGTGAAATGTTAGTTAAGATTGAATTAAACATACCTTTACGTGTTGACTCAATGTATTTATTATTTCTTTGCATACTTCCGGGACAAATTTTGAAATAACTTGTTTTGATACGTTGAATAAATATTGTAGACTACTAAACGAGTCACCAGTTGCCAAGTATCTTAATGTTATGGCCAATCTTTCCTCAGCAGTGATGGCTTTTCGAAAATGTGTGTCACTTCTCGTAATTTTGTCACGAATTGATTCCAATAAATAAAAAAAGTCGTCGGATGACATTCTGGTAAAATTTCGAAAATGTGCTCCGTCGTCCTGCATCAAATCATCTAAGAATAATTTTCCACGTGTAACCAACCTATTACGATATATTTTAGTAGTCCACCAGCGCTTTTTCTTCTTTCTTTTGGATAGACCGGCTATCACAATAAATGCTGCAGTACTGATTACTAGAACGTCGTCATCAGCCATACTATTTTTGCGAAATTATTGTTAGTTAGTTTAGAGCGTAGTGCGGACTGATCACATATTTCCATCTATTCGGGTGTGCGGCGGATAGCTACTTTGTTCGCTGCCTCGGCGAACCGTTCGCGACTTCAAATTTGAACAACCGAGGCATGCGGCAAGCGTCCGTTCGGCCTCGCCTTGCCTCGTTCCCGTTCGTGCTCAGATGAATACGCACCTTAAAGCGTTAGCTCTTGTGCAAAAAGTGATCATTTTTGATTATCTCCGATTTGAATGAAACTTGGCATGATTGAAGATCTGAACGTTCTGATTCTAGATCTGCAGTTACTTTTTTCCTAACTCAACGTATTAGTGAGTTAGAAAGCGCGATTCGCGACATGATACCCGCAGGCTTATTACGTAAAAATTTCCAACTCTGATCGGTGAGCAACCGACCACCAACCGACTTGCGACCGACTGTCGACCGACCGAAAAATTCGTATTCGCTAACGAAATTGGCAACCGGTTGCCCAACTGTCATTGAATGCAGTTTTTGCGACCGAAACAGCGCCACTAGCAATCGAGTAGCAACCGGTGGAATTAATAAAGTGACAGACGACAGACGATGGTAAACAATAAAACAATCGTGTTTATAAATCGAAGAATGATAAATACATTGTGGATCGTGATTGTGAATTTCAAAATTAACTATGTGACCTAGTTGTGTTGGAAACTGAATACGTAAGTATATAATACGATTTACATTTCTTAAAAAGGCATTTCTTTTTAGTGTGAGCTACAGATGTGTGTATGTTTACATAGTCAAGAGTAGGCGCGGGAAAAGGAAAGGTACGACACACTTAATATAAACACAGACTTAGGTGCAACCAATTAAAGGAAGTAAAATTGGCTAATTGGTTGCACGTGGCTCAACGGGTGAATTAAAAGACACGCCTATAGATCTAGGATGCTGCTTGTTCAGTAAGGGCTGCAAAAGTGCCAGAAAACGCGAATATAGGGTTTATTTATCTTTGAGATTTTGTCTAGGAGGTTTTTGTGTTATCAAAATGGAAAATCGAGTCTCAGCATCGCAAATAGATGAGCTACTTGACTTCTTAGAAAGTCATCCTAGCTTAGCCAAGGGTAGTGTTGGGCTTGGGGGAAGATCAAAAGAGACAATTGAAAGAAAATGGGACGAATTAGCAATATGTATGAATGGTCATGGTACTGGAGCTACAAAGAATGGACAACGCTGGAGAAGGGTCAGTTTATCTTAGGTTTCATTATCATTTTGTCATCTGATTCAGAATTTTTACAATTGTGCTGCATCTTATTTTTCATCATAACATTAGAACTTAGCTTGTACTATGTCCACTATTCTGTTGTATAATTGTGTAACTTGAGAAACGATTGCATTTATCCATTTTGGCAGTGATTCAATTTTTATTAATTTTATAGGACTACACTTTTTTCTATCAGAGTTTATAAAAGTGTTATATGAAACTTTTTTGTTCTCAGATTACTTTCAAAAACACATAGTTTTATTCTGCATTCTCATACTTAAAAAAGCAAAAACTGGTAGTTTGAGAATAGTTTCTTTAATTCATTGTATTTGTCCCTTTAAAATAGTTGCTACCTTCTTTTAATATTTGTAAACAGGGTAGTTTTCTGGGACTGTTGGTCATAAAAAGGCATTTTGTTCCATGTACATACGTTATATGGTTTTATTCATACAATATTTTTTTTACAGTACTGGATTGACCTTAAACATAGGGTGAAATCTAGAGTTGCTCAATATAGACAGGATGTTACGGGTACAGGTGGAGGGCCTGCTAATGTGGAGAGCTTTTCTGAAATAGATAGGAGGATTATGGCTCTGTTGGGAGAGGCAGCCATATTTGGAGACACAGCATCAAGTCCCATTTGGTGTAAGTACATAACTATTGCATAAATTCAAATAGGATTAATATTAACCAATGAAAAACCAGTGTATATTCTCCATCTGTATTGATCGCTTAATGGAACCTCATTTAATTTGAGAAAGATTTTACTTCCTGGCACTCCTCATCATATTCCTACACTTGATCACGAGATAGAAATAAGTACAGAGTTCCACTTCAAGTAAGAAAAATACAAAGTTTCATTTTAGCTTTCGTATTTGTTTATTTCTTTTCATCAAACATAGTTATTTCAAAACATCAGTTAATCATTTTTAAAATAAATTTGTTTAATTATGGGGCCAGTCAATAAATAAAGCTAAAACAAAATCTGGTGTAATTGAACAGCATTTTATTAATTTAATTGAAAGATATAGAAAACCAAGGAAATTACAGGACACGTTTCATAAATTGCATTAAACAGTGTATATTTCATCACATTTCACTATATAGTCATATAAATATTTACATTTGAAAATTAGCATAGAAATCTGAATTTATAGTTGTAATTTGTAAATTGCTTCACTTACTTTTTTTTAGGATTCCATTGTTCAGCCAGTAGAGGTTGTGGAAGAACAAATTGAAAATATATCAGGTAAATATTATTTGAATAACAAACAAAAATTGTAGAACTTATATCTTTCACTAGTGATTTCTTCTTCTGCAAATATCACATATCTTTGCCACTTGGAAATAAACCAAAAATTCATTACAAAGATGATGTTCAAGAGACCAAAGCTGTATCCAATAGAGTTAATTGTTCCAAGAATAATATTTTTTTTTTACTTATAAGCACATTGAAGCATAATTATAATACAGAGAAAAAGGTTTTGTACAAGTCTTTCTATAGCTTTCTGGGACCTAGGTGTTATAATATGCCCCATGAAGAATTACAACAAAAAAGCTCACTAGGACTATTTACAAAGAAAGTAAAGTAATGAATAATGATTTAACCAAGGTCTCATGCACACCAAATTATTGATCTAAAAAATTGTTGAAATACTAAAGTAAACAAAAATATTTTAGACAGGATTCCTGTATGTAACTTTCACCCAAATTGAGACAAAAAAAAAACGACAGCATATTGTGTTGAGCATTTTGTATTTTTTCTTTACCTACGGGTTTTCCATTTATTTGTCTCGATATAATTTTTTTTTTGAGTATAGTGTAATTCTTGTAGACAAATGTTTATGATTAATTGAGACCTTTTTGATTTTCAGAACCATGTCCTTCAACATCAGCTGTTCAGCCAGCACCAGAAATGGAATCGAAAAGAGAAACGCCATCTAGTTAGTACTTTTTATTTAAAATTTTGTTGGAAAATACAAAGATATGCTTTGGTACAATACATTTTTCAATACTGACAAAGGCAACACAATTACCAGCTTAACCATTAAAACGATATAACAGCATATTATGAGTTTTATAAATAACAAACTTTTTTAATCTGGAGTTTAATTGTAATTCCTTTTGTGCATGAGTTATATAGATTTTTATTTTCCCTAGGTGCATCAAGTCCTCTTTCACGACGCCCTACAAAGAAAAGACGTGTAAGCCCAAGTGAGTACATGCTATAACTGCCTGTCATGTTACAGTCTACATGGTCTTAGGTCAAGCTTTGACCTTTGTAATTATCTTGCGGTAGTTGGTTAATATTAAAGTCATTCTGTCCAGTACTTTTAAAAAAGATAAATCAATGAAATCAATTGAAGTTGACAAAAAAAATTTCTTCTATTACAGTTCATGGAAGAAAAAACAGGTCTGATGTAATCCAACTCGCAGTAAACTGTTTGAAAAAATATAATTTCTTGCATAATCCTCTTATAGCTCATAAGTTAGGCAGCTGTACCTATTTTGTTTTTTCGTTAGGATATCGTAAGAGAGTCAGTAATGACTGGGTCATTGAGTTGGAAGAAAAGAGGGTTGAAGCTGAGGGAAAACTTGGCAGTGCAGCACTGGTGATGGCAGAAGCAAGCCGGATACAGGCAGAAGCAAGTCGCATGCAGGCAGAAGCAAGTCGCATGCAGGCAGAAGTGGCACTGATGCAGATGAAAGTCACTCAAGAAATGTCGTCAAACATATCTAAACTATTAGAAATTCTGAAAAAATAAAGTATTTTCATGATTATTGTTCCTTTGTACTACGTGATTTTAGACATTTTATAGAAGATTTGCACAAGCCAATTTACTGGATTGTTCCAAAACCATCTCTCTTAAATCATTTCCTAACAATCACCCCTGACCATTTTTTGTAGTCAAACCGAAAATCATTTATAATTCCAAATATGATAGGAAGTTTCAACAGGTTTACAAGATTATTTTATTGTATTTAGAATTGTAATTGCTTTACAATTGACGAAAAGAAAATAGTGGTGTCATTACAAAAAAAGCAGGAGTGTTTTTTCTGATATTTGGGTTTGAGGATTATGAAACAGATAAAGAGATTTTTTTATTTTTACGATTGTATTTAGAATCAATGCTTAACAATGCTATAATAGATATTGAAAAACATGAACAGGTAAAAATAAACCTTCCCAAAAAACTAATTCTAAAAACTTTGGACTTTTTTGACAGTGATTGAAAATTTGGAGTATTTCATACAGTAGCTAATAAAAACAAAATAATGGAGAAGACACACATTTACACTCATGAGGCACTCCTCAAGCGTTGCACAATGTTAGTCCGTTGTTGGCGACCCCTCTCCAACAATGCTGATCCTTGAGCACCAGTACCAACCATGACTTGTGCTTGTAAGGGTATTTGGAGATTCAATTCCTCATGGATGGCTTCCATTGGTAACTCTGAAAATGGTACATTATGTCTGTTGCAGATGGTATGCAACACAGCACAAGCATTTATCATTTTTGCCACCATATGGTGATCATAATGTAATACCCTATGTACCAGAAGACAACGCCACCTTGCTTTTAATACTCCTATGCATCGCTCTACAGTATTCCTGGTAAGGCAATGCATATTAGTGTAATGTTCTTCTGCAGTACCAGGTTCTGCATTTATAATGGGTGTTAGGAGCCAGGGTCTTAACGGATATCCCGAGTCACCTGCAAAAATATATTTTTCATTATTACTCATCTTCAAGCAGGTATATAACAACAATTATAATTGAAAAACATACCAAGCAACCAAAATCTTTCACCATGGCTGGCAAGCTCTCTCAAGTGTCTATATGCATGAGAGTTTTTCCAAATATGGGCATCATGTGTAGCTCCACCAAATGAGGCATCAATGTCTAAAATGTTCAGATCGCTATCACATATCTGAAAAGAAATAATTATAGATGAACTAACTTAGCTTAGTAAATTAGATAATTACAGAATTAAGATTTAAATACCTTCATTAAGACGACATTAATTAAGACTTAATAATTAATAATAATAAAAGATCCATTATTGGCTTTCTATGAACATACATCAAAATGCATAATTATGGCTGAGTTAGCCACAATTAAAGTCAAAAAGATTTCAGTAAATGTTAGTTTGTAGTCTGTATGATGCCTAACATATAAGGAATACAAAGTCTCAGATTTGCTGCTGTAAAGTATTGTTACTTTTGCAGATAATGAATCTAATTTATTGATCAATATTAATTTATTCTTTTTGTCAATACAAAATTTAAACTTCCATAGCAGTAAAATGTCATCAGGTAATGTAAATGTTCATATGTTGAAAAGTTTTTGATGCAGCCAAACCCACTACCTTCTTAATTGATAGTCCACCATAATTTTGATATGCAACCTTATTTAATATGAATGTGTGCATGTCAATATACTTACTATTTGCACATTTCTGGAGTGATAGTGTTTTCGATTGAAAAATCTTTCCTCATTTTCATTTGGTCGTACCAGAGCTACATGAGTACAATCAATGCATCCCAGACAACCAGGAAATTCAAATTTATTTGAAAATCTGTAATAAATCAATAAGTATATAATAGCTTATAAGCTTCCAATTGTATGACTAAAGTGATGAAGATTGTTCTCATTCACCACCAGTGTTACTTATTTCATTTTTACATTGTTTTATAGGTTCATCCATTTAAAGTCGATTAGTTCATCTCATATCTATACGTATACATGTATTTTGATAGTACTCAGTAAATAATAGTTAGCAATTACACAATTTCCTTCATGTCTAAGAAAGATGAAGAAAAGTTGTGTCTTGTCTCTTGTTTTTGAAAATAATCATATCCACATAATAATAATTTATAATTACTTTTTCTTTAGTCTACCAGGTGCACACATTTTATTTACTTAGAGAAGACAGAGTAATTATAGCACATTTAAATCTAAGAAGAGGTAGCCACTTCTATTATATATTCTTAATACACTGAAATTTTCAATAAGTAAAAAGTTCATCTCACGTATGACTGTTTCACAAATATGTTTTTGCAGAATAACTATTTATCATGCATTTATCAACATTTGAATAATTACCCATTAATTATAGCACGTCTCTCTTGTGGTGTTTGAGGGAAGTAAATATGCTTTTTTAAAATGTCTGGATGATTGAATGCATTCACCACTTCCATTAGTGCTTTCGATACACTGGGTTGACTGAGCCCATGTAGGTAACCCATGCCAATAGGTTTCTGGTACGATCCAGTGGCCAGCACTGAAAGTGCTGTTAATACCTAAAATAATGTATTTCTATACACTGTGTAGGAAGCTGGAAGAAGGCTTTTGTTATCATTATAAAGTTCAACGCTTACATGCTGAAAAATATTAGATGTGCAATGCTCCACTACAAGCTTAAGGCGATTTTTTCCATATGACCTCACTTACTTTGGACTCTTCAGTTATTGCTGATCTCCTTCGCGAACGAGGAAAGTAGGGTGATAGTTCATCGCATAACTGCAAGAATAGCTCCTTTGTGACCCTGTAGTGTGCTCTAAATTCGTCTGCAGATATATCTAATCCCCTGACTTGTTCACGAAGATTACGCCGTAGGCGAGCAGTTTGGACTCTTCTTTCACTATCCATTGCTTCCATGAGCAACAATGCACGAGCCATCGCGATTCAAAATTGCTGAAAATACAAATTTGGAGCATACAATCACTTCTTAGACTCGTCAAGCTATTTTATTCCTTATTTGAACTTGTTATACTTACCTTTCTTGTTAAAAAAATGAATAAATTTGACAATGTTATCCAAACAAAACACTAGCAACCGACTAGCGACCGACTAGTCGACTACCACAGAGCAGTTGTTAATTTGACAGTTCAAATCGCTAGTAAGTTGCTGTTGGGTCGCTGTCAATCAGTTAGGGAATACCAATTTTTTGATACTCCTAACAAAAGAATGCACTTTTCGTTCACCAGTTGCTCCATAGAGGCGCCACCGTAGCCAGTCGGCGACTGCGACGCACTGACTGATACATAATACGAAATTTGCGTTTGACAGCAACTATCGACCAACTTGAGTCGGTTGACGGTCGGTTGGAAGTTAGGTAATAAGCCTGCCGTCCGTTGCATCCTATGTCAAGATACAAAAATTTAGATGTGGCATCAGGCAATGCCAATGCCAAGTACGATACTGTTATACCCTTTATAGTTATAGAAAAAACTTCCGCTATTAGGTGGTGCCTTTATAGTTATATGCTTTCCGTTTAGGGCTCCCACACAGTGTGGAAAATTTAATAGGTCTTCAAATAATTTTGAATGTTGTAGCCATTCTTCAGGTGATGATGGAGTCTGAAAATAAAAACACACGTGTATTTATTTTAGGAACAACAGACGGAAACGTCAACGGAAGGATATGATAATTCGAATAATGCTGAAGAAATGAACAATGTTGTCAAAAATATACAGCCAGAGAAAAAGAAAAAGCGAGGACACTGTAAGAAAAATGAAATAGAGCAAGATGTTCTGTTGAAAAGGGCAGCTACTTTAATGTCTAAACCTATAGATGAGTTCCAAATTTTTGGAGATTTTGTTGCAAGTAAAATTAGAAATTTAAAATCACCCGAATACCAACGTCAACTAAAATTAATCATTCAGCGTGCTATAGTTCAATTTTCAGAACTCGATGTTTCTTCTCCGCGGACAAGTTGTAACTCTTCATGCTCATCATCTAGACCCCAATCGGCTCCATCGTGTTATACGTCATTTGTAGCAAATACACAAGAAGATAATGTGTATGTATATTTGTTAATTAAATAAACCGTTACCGCTGAAGAGCTGCAATTTTGACAAATAAACCTATCAAAATTGTATAGAACTTAATCGGAGTCATATTCAGACAGAAAATTGAACAAAACATGTTAGTAAAAAATCTTACCTATAAATATTTCTTTTTTAGAACATCGAACAATGCACTACAACACTCAGGAACAATCGCCGCAATTGTACATACAGGGATTCGGAATAAGTACATTAACGAATGATATGAATCACCTGCAACAATTACGCTGAATGAGGCTACATGTAAAAATATATTTGATATAATATCCTGAACATATCGTTTAATAAATATATATTTGATAATCTGGATAATATTATGTCCTTACTTGTTGCTAAAAATCTTAATGTCAAACAGAGCCGTTCACTAGCGGTAATAGCACAACGCATTTGTGCATCACGTTTGCTGATGCGTGGTCCAACTAATTTTAAAAGATGGTCAAAATCAGTCTTTGACATTCGCAAAAAATTGTCAAGTTACGAAGGGTCTTCTATTCTCAATTCGGACAACAATGTTTCGTGCATTCCGAGATTACACCGTCTTAGTACCCATTCTCTTGCCTATATTCACTTTTTTTCTTAGTTTTTTTCTTTAACAAACATAAGACTGTATATGCAGCTGCATATCTAGTTTGTGGGGCAGACATTTTCAATAATATACTCACGAATGCGATGAAATACTTTTGTACAGACAGAGCAAGGGTTACAATATAAGTGTAAACATACAAGACATATTTTTCGCAAAAAACCCGACATTTTCTCTCGAGACCAGTTGCTGAAATAATTTGCGAGAAAAAAATGCCGTAGGGTAAACAGTCGGGCAAGTTTATGTAGCAATAAATGTCGCAATAGTATTGCTAATGTACACGAACCTTTAGCGTGTATGAGCTCAGTTCAGTTTTCGTTTAATGGCGTTCAGTTTTGTCTGCGGTCGCAGGTCGATTGGATGTGTGTGCGCGTGTCATGGCGTCTCAGACTAATCGCCAATGGCTAGAACAATTTATTGAGTTGTATCGCAGTGAACCTTGTCTTTGTAATATTAAACACAAAGAGTATCACACTCGAGACTTAAAATGTTCGGCGTATGCTAAGTTAGTTGATAAATTGAAAATAGTAGACCCTAATGCTGACAAAGACGCTGTTGTAAAAAAAATTAATAACATTCGCTCTACATACAAAAAAGAACGCAAAAAGATCGCTGATTCGAAGAAGTCAGGAGCGGGAACTCAAGAAATTTATATACCAAAACTATGGTATTACTGGTATTTTACACATATTATAAATATACAGGGTATCCGAAAAATGTGGGCAAACACCTAATGGGGTGGTTCCTCTTGGTAAAATAATGCTGTTAAGTTCAGAAATTACTACAAAAAAATTTAAAACTTGCCACCCTGTATCTAGCCATTGAGATTTTGACATGTAACTAAAGAACCAGCATTATTTTATCAAGGAGAACCGCCCCATTGGGTTTTTGTTCACATTTTTCTGGGCACCCTGTATACAGGGTGTCCCAGGAAGGTCGGCCTTACGATTTTACATGATCACTGGTGTTAAATAAAACTATATCTATATTTTTTTATTTAATGTTTTATTCTCAAAGTTTAATGTTTCACTATAAAATGAGTTCAGGTATAAAATTATTTTGCCACGGAACGCTGCCTTCATTTGCAAAGTATTCCATATAATCTTCTCTGACTTTTTTGCTACAGTTGTTGACGTATTACCACGAATTGTTCTTTGCAAATTAACCATGGCTAAATCCATTGAATCATATCCTTGAGTTGTCGAACCTTCATCAACGTTTTCTTTGTCAAAGCATTCAGGTTGACAGTAAGAATTTTCTGCCGTTTTCTTTAAATAATTATGTAAAGCACAACTGGCCATCACGACAGACTCTATTCTCTTCGGGTCAATACTAATTTTCATGTGAAAAATTCTAAATCGAGATGCAAATATCCCAAATGCATTTTCGACAATGCGCCGTGCTCGTGGTACACGGTAATTTAGAATTTTGTTTTTATTTGTCGTCAAGTCTGCTTGCCTAAATGGTTTAATTAAATCTGTCATAAGTGGAAACGCATCATCACCAACAAATACATGAGGCAACTTTCTAGTGCTATTTGCGACCACTGTATCGTTTGGAATACACAACTGATTATTATCAAGTTTTTCGAAAAACTTAGTGTTTGCGAGTACTCCTCCATCCTAAATTCTTCCATTAGTCCCAAAATCATATAAAAGGAATCAATAATTTCCTTCAACGATTGCCAATAACACGCTATGTTGGTTTTTGTAGTTGAAATACTCCGAGCCACATCCAGCCGGGAGAAAAATCGGTGTGTTTACCGTCCACTGCGCCAAGACAATGTGGACAATTTCATCTCTTTTCAAACACTTTGGCCACATCCTTCCATTCTTCTTCCGAGCGTGGGAACTGTAAAAAAAATGTTTCAGGAGACGGAAAGTGACGCGCAGCCATCTCCAATCTCCAGCCACACAGTCAACTTCACAGTCATCGACAGCAACACAGTCAACTTCACAGTCATCATCAGCCACACAGTCTACTTCAGAGACTCGTTCGATTGCAAACACATCATTTAATAGGGGTCGGCCAAAAAGGAATGCAAATGAAAACCTTACTACTGAAGTTTTACAGTCTGTTCAAAACCATTTCAAAAGGCCAGCAATTAGTAATGATCGATTCGATATTTTTGGAGCAAACGTCGCACTTAAGCTGCGAGATCTCACGAAAAATCAACGTATTCTTGCGGAAAAATAATTAATGAAGCATTATTTCTGGCAGAGATGGAAAATTTAACTGTTTCTCACCAAGTGATGGATTCAACCAGTGTGCGTTTTACTAATAATAACTAGCCCAGTTCCTGATCAGAATCCAAATTTTGAATTGCAAACACATGCAGGTTCACAGTCAATTCTCCACATTTCCCAACAAGGTGATTTACAACCAATAACAAATTCAGCGGCTACTTATTTGTCTACCTTTGATATCAATGCAAATTAATAAACCAACTTTATGTTGATAAATACAAGGTAATAAACAATATATTGTTACGCCCATGCGGAATGAGGCGTCAGCGATAGGCGATGAATGGGTGAAGGTCGAAGCAAGGAGGCATTTTTCATCATTAAGATTTTGGACGTTACGATGATAGTATTGTTTGATCGTATGATCTTTTCGAGTGTCAATACGAGAGAATTATCAATATAAACATTATTATACCCGGACTGTGAATTAATTATTTGGCATTATAATTCAGAAGTGAGATATCCCACGTTCACAATGGGAAAACATAAGAAAAGAAGTAGAAGACGACCTTCTAGTTCTAGTTCGTCATCTAGTGATTCGGACAGTGCTCGAGAACAAGTGAAAAAATTGAAAAGGCAATTAAAACAAAGTGAAAAACTACGAAAACAGAAAAGTGTAAGTAGTTATGCTAGTTTAAGTGTCGACGAGGCGTTAATATCCACATTTGATGCCTCTGATGAGAGCATGACTTCGAAGGATTCGATAAGCAAGATTGATGAACTTGGTAACATTTATAATTGGGACAATAATTTAATCATAAAGCTTGCGACATCTAGGATGAGGGGTAATGCTAGGAAGCGGTATGATTCACAACAAAACAATGCATACAATGGGTTGAAATGAAAATATTATTATTGGAAACTTTTCCATTCAAGATTAAGTTTAGTAAATTATTTGTTGAGGCTGCGAATTAAGTGCATAAGCCTAACCAAACATTAAGCGACTATTATTTCGAAAAATTAGCTAGGTTGTAAAAGTTACATTTAGATATTAGTGAGGCAAATTTAATTTAAATATAGAGGGAATAAGCAATGAGAACATAAAACTAGCAGCTAGGGCGGCTAATTTTAAGTCAGTCGGATTGTTAGTAAATTATTTGGATAATGCTAATCAGGAGTTTATTTCAAAAAGATTAAATGCTTCCAATAATTACACTGAAAAATCGCCAAGCGCCAACAGGGATAAAGTAATAAAATCTACATATTCTAAAAACAAAATATGTATGTTATAATTGCAAAGGACCACATATTGTTAAAGATTGTCCAAATACTACAATCAAGTGTGATTTCTGTAATAAATTAGGTCATAATAAAAATCAGTGTTATCGTAATAAAACCAGAGCGCAGAATGTAAACTTGGTAGATTATTTTAAGAAGAATATGTATGCGAAAAATGTTATTATTAATTTAATGGCGAATTAATTTATTATTGTTCAATAGATACAGGAAGCTCTTGTACTCTTATTAAAAAGTCGATTGCCGAAAAGCTGAAAACAAAATGGGTTGCACTTGATAATGCAGTGTTTTTAAAAAGTTTTGTAAGTAACTACACGTCGTGCAACACTGTTACTGATGTTCATATTAAAATTGATGATTCTGTAGGGAATGTGAGTGCCTTTATAATCAATGATAACTGCCTTTCTTACAATGTTATTATTGGTTGTGACTATTAAAATCAACGTCAAATAGCTATGTTCAAATGTAATGATACTTTTTGGCTTAAAAATATTTGCTCTGTGGAGATCGATAGTATTTCGCAAAGCCAAGTGACGTTACAATTGTTGAATTTTGGCACCGTCACGGATTCGGAAAAGAATCAAGAAATTGTACTTCTAAAGGAATATCGAGATAGGATATCATTTAATCTAAAAGAATTAGGCAAAACCGAATTAGTTAAGTTGACGATAACATGCAAGTCTAGCGAACCTATTGTTTATAATCCATATCGTATGTCTATTCATGAAAATACAATACTAGACGAGCTGTTACAAGAACTTTTGTGTAACGGAATTGTAAGGGAGTCGAAGTCCAGTTACGCTAGTCCGGTGCTATTAGTGAAAAAGAAAACTGGTGATCATCGTCTATGTATCGACTACCGCCGGTTGAATGCTATCACTGTCAAAGAAAAATATCCGCTCCCGTTGATCGAGGATCAAATCAATATGTTAGGCGGGCACGAATATTTTATAACCTTGGACTTAGCATCTGGCTATTACCAAATACCAGTAGATAAAGATTCAATTGAAAAGACAGCATTTATCACACCGTCATCTCATTATGAGTTTACAAGGATGCCGTTCGGATTAGCAAATGCGCCAGCAGTTTTTCAGAGGTTGATAAACATGGTAGTTAAAGATTATTTAAACAAAATTGTTTTTGCTTATTTGGATGATCTTATAATTCCGGCACACAATATAGAACAAGCTTTATCGAGATTAAGAATTATATTAGACGCTTTAAGACAGGGAAATATAACACTTAAGCTAAGTAAATGCAATTTCCTTCAATCTCAGATTAATTATTTGGGGCGAGAAATTAGTGTTTCTGGGGTGAGACCTGGTAACGAAAAAATTAGAGCTGTTATGGAAATGAAGGTGCCAACAAATGTTAGGGAAGTTAGACAGTCCTTAGGTCTTTCCGGATATTTTCGTAGGTATGTTCGGAATTATAGTGTATTGGTGGAGCCAATTACAAGATTGATGAGAAAAGATGTTGCATTTGCTTGGTTAGGTGAACAACAAGAAGCATATACCAAGGTTAAATCCATATTAGTGTCCCGACCGGTGCTGGCAATATTTAATTCAGAGTTACAGACAGAATTACATACGGACGCTAGTTGTTTGGGATTTGGAGCTATGTTAATCCAAATTAATGATAAAAAGCAACAAGTTGTAGCATACTTTAGCAATCAAACGAGTCCTGAACAAAGAATGAATCACTCTTATGAATTGGAAACTTTAGCGGTAGTCCTAGCATTACAACATTTTAGGGTCTATCTATTAGGTATTAAGTTTGATATCGTTATGGACTGTAGTGCGTTACGTGCTGCGTTTACAAAACGAGATATGATTTCGCGAGTCGGTCGGTGGTGGCTTCAAGTACAAGATTACGACTTTTCGATTATTCATCGACCTGGGTCGGCAATGGGACATGTAGACGCTCTTAGTCGGAACCCTATTCCCGGATACCTAGATGTGGCCACGATTGACGTTACAGAAGCTGATTGGATAGTAGTCATCCTTGCTATATTGAAGAAAGGCATTGTTAGTAAATCAACTAAACAATACTTTGACAAATATGAATTACATGATGATAAAATATATAAAAGATGAAAGAAGGCAAGTCCCTATGGGTGGTTTCAAAGGACTGTAGATGGCCCGATTTGCGGGTTATGCCATGATGATGGGGGACACTTTGGATTTGAAAAGACTGTTAAAAAAATAATAGAAAATTACTGGTTTCCTCAATTTCGAAAATACGTAAAAATATGTCTTCATGTCTTTCATGTCTCTATTATAAGAACCCTAGTAGTAAAAAGGAGGGGTTTCTCCACCCAATAGAAAAGGTTGCTACTCTCTTCCATACAATTCATATTGATCATCTTGGGCCATTTATAAAATGTAAAAAGAATAACAAGTATCTTCTAGTTATCGTAGACGGTTTTACAAAGTTTTGCTTCATCGAGGCCGTAAGGGACGTAACTGCTTTAAGTAGCATCATGTATATTTTTGGAGCACCAACCAGGGTTGTGTCAGACAGAGGCACGGCATTCACCTCAGTGACATTTAAGAAGTTTTGTGAGGACTATGGTTTGAAGCATGTCTTAAATGCAGTAGCAACTCCGAGGGCGAACGGGCAATGTGAAAGATATAACCGCACGATATTGAACGCACTCTCGTGTAGCGCTGCTGGTTTTGCTGAAGATCGTTTTGATACCGTTGTCAAAAAGATCCAAAGTTCGTTAAATATGACTTTCAATACGGCAATTGGTACAACACCATTGGAAGCTTTGGCTGGCTATAAGGGGAATCATGTGTCTCAAGCTCTGGTACTGAATGCGGTGCAGAACGAATTGGACCGTACAGGCTTAGAAGATTTAAGAGGAAATATTTCAAGGAAGCTGACCAATGATCAGAGGAAGCAGAAGGAAAGGTTTGACAAGCTTCGAAAACGACCAAGAATATAGAAGAAGGGTGAGGTTGTAATGGTCATGAAGACAGGTGCACCATGCACAGGTTCGAGTATAATGTTATTAGCTTAGTTTAAAGGACCGTTTAAGGTTACGAACGTCCTTATAAATGATAGATATCAAGTCCACGACATGAGGGAAAATTTTCGTAGGACAAAGACGGTGGTCTCGGTAGACAACATGAAACCGTGGATTGTACTGAAAGGTAAGAATCCACTTTCTCAAGAAAATGTAAAGCTACAAGGGGCAAAATTAAAAGTGAGTTATGTAAAGGAAGTACATACTAGGAGGTACTAGGTTTACATAATATGCACTAATTAAAGGGAACAATGTGAGGTATTTGGATTAAGTACATACTATGAGGTACTAGAACCAAAAACCAAGCACAATATTAAATTATGATTGAGGAATGTGAGATGTTTAAAAAGGGTACATACTAGGAAGTGCTGAGATTAAACATTATGCACAAAAATTGGAAGTCATAAGGTTTGACATGTCCACTTGACCATCTGGCAGAATCTGGGGTCGGATCTGAAGAGGATGGCCGAATGTTACGCCCATGCGGAATGAGGCGTCAGCGACAGGCGATGAATGGGTGAAGGTCGAAGCAAGGAGGCATTTTTCATCATTAACATTTTGGACGTTACGATGATAGTATTGTTTGATCGTATGATCTTTTCGAGTGGCAATACGAGAGAATTATCAATATAAACATTATTATACCCGGACTGTGAATTAATTATTTGGCATTATAATATATTTAATAATTAATTGTTTTTGGTTTCTTACCTTGAAATAGTCCTTGCGGAGAAACCTTATATATTGCTTCACATGTTTCTGGTATTATGCGCGACCCAAGGCTTGAGGTGAAATAATACTAGAGAATTCCATGTCTTCATAATTTGTTCCTGTTGACAAAAACCTTAAGGTAGCTACAAGTATGTCATGAGAAGAAATAGAGTTTCTCATTATAGTGTCTTGCTTTTCGATAATTGGCGCTACCATATTTAGTAGATGTAACTAAGTATCATGATCCATTCTTAGAAAATTATGCCAGTCTTTTGGAAATATCTGTAATTCCGCCAACATATTTATGTGGGAATGAACTCTTCTTTTCATCAGCCAATCTTTACACCAAACAGTTCGTTTTTTCCGCTTC